CCCAACCCCAACCCCAACCCCAACCCCAACCCCAACCCCAACCCCAACCCCAACCCCAACCCCAACCCCCAACCCCAACCCCAACCCCAACCCCAACCCCAACCCCAACCCCAACCCCAACCCCAACCCCAACCCCAACCCCAACCCCAACCCCAACCCCAACCCCAACCCCAACCCCAACCCCAACCCCAACCCCAACCCCAACCCCAACCCCAACCCCAACCCCAACCCCAACCCCCAACCCCAACCCCAACCCCAACCCCAACCCCATTATTAATAGTTTTTTTATAAATAATAAAATACTAACATATATATCTTTGAAATTAAATATTTTTTCATTTACCATTTTTTTAGATAAGAAATACTTTTTAAAGATAGAAAAAAAAATAAATATAAAATATCAATAATATCAAATAAAATTATTTGAAGTAATAAAAATTATGAATTTTTAATAGGCTAACTTTTGAAAATATTTACCTAAATTTTGAGTTTGAACAAAATCACACAAAAAAATTTTTCAAATAAATTGATATTAACAATAGGAAAAAATACAAAAAGCCAAATTATTCTTATTTATTTAATACGCAGATAATCATAATATATTAATTTTTAGTAACATATTTAATACAAAATTTTTAATTAAAATGATAGCAAAAGAAAAAGATAATTTACAAAAAATAAGTAAGAAATTAATATTAATGATACATAAAAAAGCTTTTTATGATAAATAAAATTAGAAATAAATTACTTTTTTATTAATTTTTGTGGAAGTTAAATGAAATGAAATTAGATCTAGCAAGGCATCTATCTCATCTAATTTTTCTCCTTAATTATTTATAATTTCACATATTAATTTAATTTTTATAAATTAATTTTGTAGAATATTATAAATTTAAGTGCATTAAGACTAATTAGTTTTCTTAAAATATTTAGTTTTTTAGTTTTATTGATAAATAATCAAAATCAATTTAAATAAAATACAATAGCAACATTCATAATTATTCAAAGTTATTTAATGGTAGCTTTATTTCCTTTTAGTGAAACCACTTTAAACATAATAAATAATAACCAATAACTTTAATAATCTTAAAAATAAAATATAGTAAAAACTTTATACTTATAAAATATAATTTGGTTAATACTTATTTATAAACAGTATTTTAAGTATTCGATTTGATATTTATAAATTTTTAATCACTAACACTGACTCTTACTTATATGATACGAACTATTTATCAAAATTTATTTCATGTATGAATTTAAAAACAAACTAGCGGTGTTTTTTAATTTGATTTCAATTAAGATAGAAATTAAGAAAATTGATTTTTCTTTTCTTCTATTAATAATACGAAACAAACAAAACTGAATATTTTCTACTAATTCACGCTTTAAAAAAATATTGATATTATCATTTAAATTCTTACTTAAATTACTAGTTTTCATATAATATAAGAATAGTCCTTTATTTAGTAAAAAGGAAATTATTTTAATCATTGCTATTATAATTTATAAAAAAACTACACGTTTATTTAATAGTTTAATATTATAAATGCCAAATACAATTTTTAAAAAAGAGGTCATTCATTAATTTTCTAGCAATTTGGTTACAAAATTTTATTAAAGAAAGTATTTTTTTAAAAATAGCTTGGCTGAAAGTTTTATGAAAGATTGAAATTTCGCGTTATAGTAAAAATAAAAATGTTTTTTACTTTTTTGTAAAATTTTATTTTAAAATATTATAATAAACAAACTATGATTTACTTACTAAATCATTTTTTATACTGTACTTATCTAACTCATTTTAATGATTGATTGATTTATTTATTTGTGGATAACTAACTCTAACCAGATTAGTTATATTAATATTATGCATAAATCAATAAGAAAAGAATTTTTGGATATAAATAATAACTTTGAAATTTATTAAATAGCTATTAATTAAAATGGTTATCAAATTCATATAAAAATTTTTATTTGTTATTCTAATTTAGCAAATTTAGAAATCTTTTTCAACTATTATAACTAAAGCTATTCAGACAGATTTAAAAGAGGCTTCTTGCGTGGCTTCATTAACCGATACAAGATCATAGATTGGATATTTGCTAAATGATTTGTTAGATAATCCATAATAATATAACTACAAAGCTTTAGGAATATCTATGTGGTTTTATTACACCGCAACTTAAACTTCGCCCAATTATTCAAGCATATTTGGTCTTTCACATGACTTCAAATGTAAAAAATTTAATTCTTTTAAATCTCAAATTTAAAATTTAAAATAAAAAATTTAGAGCCATTACAAAACAGCAAGAGTGTTTTATAGTTTTGGATATATCTTTAAGCAACATCTAACTAGTTACTTTTTGAAAGCTTATATTTCTAATAATCGTAAGGATTTCCTTATACTAAAATTGCATAGAGCCAAAGCTCTTTTATGAATGTTTGGAGAAAAGCTATTATTGTTTATTAGCCTATTTAAAAAAAAGCCTACTTAAGAATTTAAGACTAAAATAAATAAAATAATTTAGACTTTTCATTAGATTTATCAAGCCTTAAAAACTATATCATTCACTTTTAATCAGATGGAATTAATCCAAATAATAACGTTTGGCTTAATCTAGATCATGGCACTTAGGATCCAGCCTTCACAAACTCTTGTTCAAAATAAAAATATGCGATGTTTCATTACTCAAATGATGAAGAATTCTCAATATAGGAAATATAAAATATATATTTTGATTACTATAGCTTTTAAGGATATTCTCCTTTCTACTACTTTCCTTTAAAAAGGTACTCAAATAGTTAAATTAGTGACTAAACATAGGCTTTTAGTAGATATAAGTAATTAAATTACATTTAACTTTTAAGATTATTAACTTTTTTTAATAAATTAAAGAAATCTATATATGCCTTCTATTAGCGAAGCTGTAATTGGCTCTTAAAATTCAAACTAGTTATCTTTTAAAATTGATTCTAATGATTATAATTTATACATACCTCAGTTAACACCAGGATAAACACTTAGTTTTAATTTGATCTAAGCTACTTATCAGTTTGTAGTGAGCTTTGTACTTGAGTATGGCAATTTAAGCAATGGAATTACTTTAATATCATCTGGAACATAGCTTTCTATATAAGCTATTGTTTCGCAGAGCTAAAATATTTTATAAGTTTTGTTGAATGGATAAGCTTAAATCTAAACTTGGGTTTTAGGGTAAACAGGTAGTATTCACACATTTTTAATAAAATTTGGATCAAGTTTAGCCTCAACTTCTATTACATATTTTGTTGATGGAAATTAAATAAATAACTTTATCTTCAACTCTAGTTAAATGTCTTTTTCATCTTTCTAAATTGGTTCTTAAACAAAACCTTCAAATTAGCCATAGGATGCAGACATTTTTTAAATTAGAGATTTTTACCTTTTTCCTAATGCAGATGCTAAAAAATCATCAGATTATGCAAGTGAGCCTGAATTTTAGTTATAAAATTGTAATTTATATGCCCAGTTTAACTATAATAGTGCTTATTGCCTTAGCTGTGCAAGCGGTTATGTTTATTAGTTCTAAGGCTCCTGTTCTTAAACTCAAGCAGGATCTGTATCTGATGGATTAACATAATAATCTAACTCATTTTATGGAGATAGTGTAGGATAAATAGTAGAAAGTTCATTAAATCCTTAAACACAACCATTAACCTACTTTTATCAAAGACAAGATAACAATTTTGACTTTTTGATTCTAGGATACTTTTAGCTGTAGCAATGGAATGATAAGCAATTAAGCACAAGCTTAATATATTTGCAAGTTAATTAAACAAATTCTTATTATTTTTTGAATCTTTATTTAGAGAGTAGTACTAAAGTAACACTAAAGATGACTTTAGATAGTGCAAATCTTGTTTGTTCTGTCAGCATAACTTATTCAAGTAGCTTATTAAATTAATGGACTTTATTAGGTATTGGATATTAGACTTCATCTGCTAGCGCTTATCTTGTTTATTAAGATATTTATAGTAGCCTCATACTTTAACAACAGGTTCTATAATGCACAGGAAATGTCTCTGTTGGAAGCGATACCAATTAGTTTATTGTATGTCTTGGTTGTTTGATACCAAATCCAACCTTATACAGCTAATTCGTTGGAAATATAAAAAAAGTAAAATTTATTGAAAAATTTGAAGGCTATTAAAACATTGGAAATTATGTTTACTATGATTAAGATGTGATGGAATATAGTGCAATAAATTTAAACTATTAAAATATCAATTCACTTTTAGATTTGTTTTCTCTTAGTTTACCAGGCTTATCATTTGCTTGCTAATCAGGGTATTACTTCTTCGAAGGAGTGTGCATAAAAAACTGTAATTCTGTATTCCGCTAAAGTTAATTAGGTTAATTTAATGCCCTCTATTAAAGTACAATCTCATGTGAAATGTGTCCTTCAAATTGCTTAAGCTGTACATCATTCAATGTTTGCACTAGCTGTAGAGTTGGTTATATTCTAAAGGCCAATTAATGTGTAACTTGCAACTCAGGTTATTCCTACGATACAGTTTCGCAGTAGTGTAAATAAGTATGTCCAAGTATTACAGATTAAATGAATGGAATTTGTGTATAATAATTAGATACTTATATTCATAAATCTTTACCATTACTAAATATGTAATGGACAACTAATAATGATGGATTTTAAATTCTTAACAGCGACAATACTTCCTAGCCAGATAACTTCATAAAATGCACTAATGGAATACCTTATCAATTTTTTTCATTTTATGGTGGTTATCTTCTCACTTCAACTAATAAAATCTAAAGAACATGGATGAATCTCCCAAACAATTATTATAAAGTTGTTTCTTTCTATGCTGTTTTATATGGAGATACTCCAACTGATAGTAGTTTAAAAGTTACTCTAAATGGATAGTAAACTAGTAGCACTGTTTTTAATATCATTTAAAGTGGAGCAAATATTTGTAATACGAGTAATAACGCATAGAAATAAACAATTATATTTTTATAATATGAAATTATGGATAATGCAAATTAGTTAATTTTAACAGTTTAGCCAAGTAATAATGGAATTGCTATCAGAAACGTAAACTTATTAGTAAAAAAATGTCACTCATCTTGCTACTCTTGTAAAGATGGACCAAACCCATGGAATTGTATTTTGTGCTAAAGCAAAAATAATATGAGAGTAGATAGTCAATGCATTTGTCAACTAGGAGAGTATTATAAATATTAAGGATGTTACTCTAGTCCATGTTATGATTGTGTAAAATGTGTTTCACCTAACTGTTAAGTTTGCGAAGATGAAACAGGCAATTGCTTAGTTTGTAATTCTGGATACGTTTAGCAATAAGGAAATTGTGTCCAGATTTGTGATAAAACATAATTTTATTTCAATTACTCTCCAGCATAAGTATGTTATGTGTAAAATACCCTTGCTCTAGATTCATTTTAACAAAGCAGAATCATTTCTAATCTGGAATTCTGGTCTGAATCAACAAACTATTTAGCTCAAGGATAGAGCTTATTATCTTGCCTTAATATGACAATGTTACCAAATCTAGGAAATAATGCAGGAACAAATGAGCAATTTAGTTTAAACATAAATCTCCCTTAATTTAAGAGTAATTATAAAGGTTTTCAGTTTAATACTTAGCTAGCTATTCTTGATAATATGACACTAAGTTATGATTATATATTATTTTAGTATTAAGGAACTACTGTTTAAAAAAAAACATTTGGTATCTTCAGTAATACTACTAATTCTTGTGCAAACCCTAAATTTAGTGATAGCCTCTAAAATTTCATTTTTTCAGTATATAGTGGGATAGGTACAATCAACTTAAATATTGTCTCAAATTTCTAAAATGATAAATCAAATGCAAGTTTTTCTCTTGGTGAATTCAAAGCTTACTACAGTAATAATTTTATTTTATTTTATTCAATCTAACATATTTTCTTTAATTTTAAATTAATTGTAGATATCCTAATCAAAAAATTTTTAAATCTTTAAAAATCCAAAATTAAAAACTATATTTATTAAATTAATTTTAAAAGAAAATTTGTGGTATTTATTTTTGATAATTTTATTGATATAATTTTTTATAGTTTTAAATGAGCCACTTTGTGCGTCTTATTCATACCCTTAAAACAATGCCAATCCTACTTGTTAAACATGTGCACCAAATGCCAAACTTACGAATAATGCTTGCGCATGCAATGATGGATATTATTTTAAATATATTCCTAGTAAATTAGATGGAATCTGTTTACCTTGCAATCCAGCTTGTAGCAGATGTTCAGGACCATCTGTTTATAGTTGCAGTACTTGTTAGACAGGTTATTTTTATGACGGGCAAAGGTGTATAAAAAGCTGTTCTGAAGGATTCTATTAAAATAGTACAAATAATTGCGCTCCTTGTGGTCCAAATTGTTTTGGATGTACTGGCCCTAAAGATTATTAATGCACTAGCTGTTAAATAGGGAAATATTTGTACATTAATAAATGTTACAGTGATTGCAAGACTGCGGACAGTAAAGCAGTAGTTGATAATTGGTCTAGATCATGCATAATACCTTAAAATTAACCAGGTTAACTACTTTTTTCAACATCTGACTAATTCGATCCTAGTATACTTTTACAGTACAAAATAAGTTCAGGATTAAATAGTAATACCATCTATTAATGTTAATAATCATCCATGCTAGGGTTATATAGTCAAACTATGAGCATGTTTATGTAATAAATCAGTCCTCATTCTATTTTATTATTCAATTTTTAGCTTTATTTGAATGTGGATTGCTCATCAGGATGTAAGTTAACTGTTACTATTTAAGAGCTTTAAAAAAGTTAAAGTTATTCAATCTCTTCTCCTAAGGTAGATTGCACTCCTTAGTCAACACTCTCTCAGTAATTGATCTTATAAGACATATAAAATTCATCATAAGATTATACATTTGTAATTGGAGTTACTGGCTCTGAATTTGCAGTTTCTAATATTTAAATTACTCCAATTACTTGCCATGTTTCATGCTTGTATTGCACAGGTCCACTCAGTAACTAATGTACTTAATGCTATCCAGGATCAGCTATTTAAGGATAAGGTAGCGTCGGATCATGTATTTGTTAAGATAAACTACTGGGTTTAGGATTATCAACAACGATTTGTAGTGATCCTCAAGGATGTATGACTTGCTAACAGTGTATGCTACCATGTCTTTCTTGCTATAAAAATGATGCTTTATCTTGTCTTACATGCTCTTAGGGTAAATCTCTATTTGTTAGTACTTGTGTAGATTCTTGTCCTCCAGATATTTCTATTCCTTCTTTAGATTCCAATAACAATAATATATGTTCTCCTTGCCCAATACCTTGTCAAACCTGCGATTTAAAGTCACGCTGCACAAGCTGTATTTCTGGATATTTATTCATTGCAGATTAATAATTATGTGTTACATAATGCCCAGATGGTTACTTCTAACCAAGTGATACCTCTAATTATTGCTAACGTTGTGGAGATATTTGTAAAACCTGTACCTAAAGCAGTAATAATTGTCTAAGTTGCATCGATGGATATTACTTCTCTTAAGATCCAGTATTAGGTAATTAATGCAATATTTGTGATTCGAGATGCCAAACTTGTACTGGACCATCGAATACCTAATGCATAAATTGCTCAACTTAACCTGGTGTGGTTTTATTTAAACCTTAAAACATTGAATATTGCTCTAACACTTGTGATGAAGTCCAGGGATATTATTTAGGCTATGATTAGAGCTAAAACCTAAAATGTATAAATTGTGCACCAAATTGCTCAGGATGCAACAGTTTAAATCCTGATACTTGCACCTCTTGTTTTTAAGGATATACTATTATTGAAGGAATCTGCTCTGCCTGTGATTCATCTTGCTATAATTGTAATGGAATTACAAAATATAATTGTATTTAATGCTCTAACTAATTGTATCTTCTGAATAACTAATGTATTCAATAATGTCCATAAGGTTATTTTAGTTAGTCAGAAATTATTTCAGGAGTATAAATTAATACATGTATATAATGTCCTTCATCTTGTGTTAGCTGTACGTCATTAACATCTTGTAATTTATGTAATCTTGGGTATTTCTTAACCAATCAGCAATGCCTATAATGCAAAAACAATTGTTAAGTGTGCTTTGGGACTAATGGTTCTTTATGCTAAAAATGCTATTTAGGATATTTTTTATAAAATTAAAAGTGTACAGATACATGCTAGTCAGTTAATGGAATAGGTTTTTATGGAGAAATTTCAACTAAAACCTGTCTCTAGTGTGATTTATCTTGTTTAACTTGTATAAACAAATTTCCATATACATGTACTAGTTGTTTTGATGGCTTTTATTTGTATGCTCCAAAACCAATTAATAGTGGTTCTTCTTCTTCTAATACTTAAAAAGTTATATTTGGAACTTGTAATAGCTGCCCTAAAGAATCTAAAACATGCTATTTTGATTAGACTTTAAATCTTGTTTAATCTTCTTCATGTAACTAGGGTTACTTCTTATATTCTAATGCATGTATAACTAACTGTCCCCAAGGTAATTAATTTAAACATATGCAAATTTCTAAGTTTACTTAACAAGCCTGCTTAAATTATTTTAATAAATATGAAAAAAAATAAAAATTAAATATAAATTAAATAAATTTTTTAGTTGCAAAAATCATAAATAATTTAATAAAATTATTTAAGATAATCGATTAATTTCTATTAAAAAAAATTTGAATCTAAGGAAATTTTTTTTTTTTCATTCAGAAAAAAGTTTTTTGATAAATTTTAGATTTTATTTTTAATTCTTTATGAGAGAAAATTTTTATATTTTTAATTAAACAAATTTTATCAAAAAATTATTTTAATTATTTAGGATATTTTGCGAATAAGAATACAAATGTTTGTGTGATATGTAATTAAGCATGCAAATAATGTTAAGATTCTACTGTCAATTAATGTTCTTCTTGTACTGATGGATTTGTTCTTACTTAGCCTTCTTCATGCTTACCTTGCTCTTAATTTTTAAATGGCTGCTTAGTATGTTCTTCTCAGACAAATTGTTTAAAATGTGGCCAAAATTTAATTTTATACTAAGGTTAATGTATTTCTACATGTGACTAATCTAAAGGGTTATATACATTTAATAATTAATGCAAGAATTGCGTTAGTCCATGCATTTAATGCACATCTGCTACAAATTGTATCCTCTGTGGAGATGGTTTTATTCTAAGCGGTAGTGCCTGTGTTCCTTGTAACTAATAGTGCTAAACTTGTAATGGAACTTCAGACCACAATTGTTCCACTTGTAGGATAGGGTTTTATCTATAGCCAGTTAATCAAGTATAGGCGATTTGTACATTATTTTGTAATTCTGGTTATTATGCAAATAAATTGTTAGGAAGTTGTGTTTAATGCGATTAGTCTTGCAGTGAATGTGCAGATTAAGTTTCCTGTTCAAAATGCAATAACGGATATTATTAGATTAGTGGTTAGCCTCTTTGCTCATAATGTAAGGCTACTTGTTTGACTTGTACTGCTCTTACTATGTGCACATCTTGTGTAGCTGGTACATTCTTAAGTAATAATGACTGTGTTCCTGTCTGTCCAAAGGGTTAATTTGGTTCTAACGGTTTATGCATACCTTGCGATTCTAATTGTGACTCATGTTCTAGTAATTCTACAAAATGTTAATCTTGCCAGATTGGGTATTATCTAAATAATAGCAATGTTTGTATTTAATGTAGTTAGAATTGCCTACAATGTTCTTCTGCTTCTGCTTGCTTGAAATGTGCTTTTGGTATAAAATTTTATAAAATATATTTACTTAAGAATTACTTTTATATAAATTAGGAACATTTTTAGAAAATGGATCATGTAAATCTTCTTGCTCCAACCCTAACAGCTATTAAGATAAAAGTTTAAATTAATGTGTTTTATGCGATTCATCATGCCAAACTTGCAATGGTTCATCATCTAGAAATTGTTTGAGTTGCTATAATGGATATTATTTTTCTGTTCTTAATTCTCCTTCAGGTATTTGTGTATAGTGCGACAGTAGTTGTTCATTGTGCACAGGTCCATCAAATAATGAATGCTAATAATGTAAAAAAGGAGTTTAGTATAAGCCTCCTTCCAGTTGTATTGCCTGCCCAGTATCTTAATATTTTGATGGAAGCCAATGCTAGTATTGTTCAAATTTATGTTTGACTTGCTTTGATTCTTCAGCTAATAGTTGTTTGTCATGTAAGCAGAATTACTTCCTAGATATTAATACAAATACTTGCTAATCTTGCCCTTAAACATGCTTAACATGCGTAAGCAGCACATATTGCACATTATGTGAACCAGGTAATTATTTTATAGTTTAAAATTAAAAAATCAATACAATTTTTTAATAAATAGGCTATTTTTTACTGAATAATCTTTAATGTGTAACTTAATGCCCAGTTGGTATGAGGGCTGATGTCAATTCAGGAGTTTGTATGTGTGATGTTACTTGTGGTAAATGCAACTATAATCCTACTCAAAATCTAACTACATGCTAAAAATGCATCAATTCAGATTATTTATTGAATGGAAATAATGCAGTATGCATTTAGGCTTCATAATGCCAAGGATATTAAGATTTATTAAATGGTGCATGTGTATAAAATTGTCCCCCACAAGCAACATATATCGATTTAGATGTAAAGTCATGCTCAAATAACCCTTGCTTGTCTAACTAGTTTATACAAAATATAAATAATATTTTATACTGCTCAACATCTTGTCCTCCAAGTTTTTATAAAGAAATGCAAACTAAATATTGTTTACCTTGTGATTTCAAGTGTCAAACTTGTACAGGTCCTTCAGATAGTTAATGTTAAGTATGCTAAAATAATGTAATTAATTTATTTATTATTATTGGAGGAGGGTTGATAAAAAAATTTTATTTTTTATTTTCCATTATTTTATTTGGTTACAAATAACTTTATAATTGCTTTAATATAAATAAATAGAATTATTACCATCCTGAAATACAAACATGCAAAGATTAATGTCTTCCTGGTTATATTCAACTTGATTAAACTTAAAAAGTATGTACAGCTTGCCTATTGAACTGTAAGATATGTGTTCCTAGCTTGATTTTATTTGAAGGAAATTGTATTACTGAATGCCCTGTAGGATATTAGTAAGTCTTATAAAGTTGTAAATATGCCCCACTAGCTGTTGTGAAGATATCAAATGTATAAAATGGCTAAGTAATTTCTATAAATGCAGATTTTGAAGTTCAATCTACTTTATATGCAACTTAAGAAATATAAAATGTCGTTTGGTCTATTACAAAATCATTAGATAAAAAGTTTGCTTCAGATTTTTCATAAATTTCATCAGCTTCATTATCCTAAGTCATTCCTTTTATTATTCTGACACGTAAATTTTTAAAATATAATTTTTTAAAAAATTCTTATTAAAAAAATAAAAATAAAAAAAGCATCTAATAATTTCATAATGTAAGTTACTGTTACTTTAAAGGATGGTACAGTTATTTCAGACAAAGTGAATCTTTTAACTTCTGACACTATGCATGAAGGTCAGTTCATAGTTGATAAAACCTAAGGTGTTTCTTACAATGACACTTTTGCATTTTAGATTAATAATTGGAGTTTTACTGAATAGTTATATTTTGATTTAAATTTTTATTAACTTTCTGGTATTTAATAAGTAAATATTACAAGTAATTCAAGTTCATAGATGGATTTTGTTAAAGATGAGCTCTTTTAATTGTATGAACAGATTGCTATTAATGGGTCTTTAACAATATCATATCAGTTTTAACCATTTAGCTCATAAGTTAACATAGTTTGTGAATTAAAAGTTTATACAAAAGATACAAGTGTTTAATCCTTTAAATATCTAATGATAAATCTTTAGCAATACCCTGGAAAGGTAAACGATTATGATTTGCTAAACGATTAATTAAATCAAGTTAGTTCTACTTCTGACCCTAACTTATTATAGCAGCTTTTATTTAAGTATTCACATCTATTAAAGTTTATGGTGTAAAAAGATCAAGCTAAGCTTGCTAAATTAAATTAATAAATCAATTTAAGGTAAGTTGCCTAGTTGAATGGAGTTTCTAGCTAAGATTTACCTAGCTGTGATAGCACAATAGATTGTTTCTCATAAGGATAATGCACAAATAATCCACTTTATTAATAAGGATGTTTTTGTACAAGTGGATTCTACGGTATTAATTGCGAATGGGATAGTCATCAATATTAGATAATTACCTAATCATTTTAATAAATATCTAATATTTTAAGCTCTAAACAGTTATCTCCAATAATTTAGTTTTAAATTATTGAGAATTTATCTGTCTACTTTAACATGTTCTATCTCAACTTTTCATCATTATCTACCTTATTAAATATGCATCAGTCGATCATAAACTAATATTTATCCAATAATATCGATTAAGTAAAAGGATAAATTTTGTAAAGGAGTCTTTCAGTCGTAACCAGTTAACTTAAATAAATGGATTAGGATTCAACTTCTTTAATAAATATGGGTTATAATTTACACAATAAGGTATCTTCTAATTTGAATGTAGGAGAAAAGTTAATCACTTCATCAGATGCAAGTTCTTCTGTTTCTTATCCTTATCTTCTTTAGAAATTGTCAAGCGATTAGTCTAATAAGCTTAGAAGATTAATACGTCTTAGATAGTTAGATGATAGTTCTAATGTTGGATTACCAGTTGTTTTTGGATCACTCACAGTTCAATTCCCTCCAGAAGTTATTTAAACAAATAAAAAGTAAGTAATTTAAGCTACCTCATGGAATCAGAATCCTAGATCGAACCCACTAGCAATAACTTAATGTATATCATTATCTGTTAGTAGCGGTGGATAAGAAACATCTGTAAATAACCTCTCATAACCAATAACAATAACTATCCCTAAATCGATCCCTTCTCCAGTTTCTTCTGATCCAAGTTCAATATCATGTACATATTATGATGAAGCAACAAATTCATGGAAGGTAAATAAATACAAAAATTTTAAATATTAATCTATTTTTTTATTTAATAGACTGATGGTTGCACATTTGTCAAAGAAACTATACTAAATATTATATGTTCTTGCACTCATTTAACAGATTTCACTGGATAAAAAGCTTAAGTTTAGGGAAATGCAAGCTCAAAATTAGCAGAAATAACATCAACTGTGATACTAGGAAACTCTTTGCTTTAGTAGTCTAGTTCTCAAAAAGTTGTTATCAACTAACTTCCTGTGTTACAGATAGGTATATTAATTTATATTTAAAAATAAAAAATTAACAAATATCAAATAGGATAACGCTCAGTTAATTTAGTCAATCAGTTAAATATATTGTAGAGTGGAAGTGCAGTGAATTTTGTCAAGAAAAACACTATCCTATTGATAGAAAACTAGTACTATACTGAAGATGTCTCAGAATTTTGGGAATAAGATTAAATCACTATCAAAAATTAAAACAATTAAAATTAGTAAGAAATTGCTGAGGGACAAGTTGTTAACAATTTACAAATTATATTTTATGTTCTGATAGCATTTAACATATCTTTCTATTTAATAATGAGAGCTCAATTTAGATTCAAATATATTAAAGTTGATTTTAAGTAAATAAAAATGTTTGAATTAAAATAAAATAAAATTGAAAGCTAAGTTGAAACAAATTAAGTTGAAAACAAACGAAGAAAAAACAAACCTAGACTTACTGTGATTTCATAAAATAATTTCTTAAAAAGAGGAAATAAGCTGAAGGAAAGAAGAAATGCATATATTTAAAATTTAAGAGCGGAATAGAAGTAATCAAATATTGAATAAATATCAGAAGATATTTAAAAGTAATACAAACCAACTTCTTAAACATCTATTTTAAGTATAGAAAACGATAGTCAAAATTAAATCAATCAAACTTTGTCTAATCAGTATAATTTACCTTCAGCAAAAAGTATTTACTATATTTCATCATAATAGTAGATAAATTAAACAAAAAATTCAACAAGTTAGCATTCTTTGGATGATGATATTGAAAAATAGAAAAAGCATGATCATCCAAAATTATTTAATGATAGTTCAAAAGATTTACATAGTGATACTAATACACGTATTTCTAGTAATTATAGAAATTCCAGATTTAATTTAGCTAGAAGAGAAGAATAATCAGAAAAACTAATTACTATTATAGATGAAGAAGAATTTGAGATAAATAGTGAAAATGATGAGCAATATAAGCTAAATGATAAAACAAAAAAGCCTTTAATCACAGCAAAACCAAATTAAAAGGATACTAAGAAAAAATTTCATTCGATGAAAGTATTTTTAAATGAAGGAGAATAAGAATATGAAAACCATATTTAAGATTAAAAGGAAAAAAGTACTAATCCTAGAGGTAATCAAATTTTAAAAATAGTTTTATAATTATACAATAAATTACTTTTCTTTAATAATTTTTTTTCAGATCTAATTTTTTCGATATGTTGGGGTAAAAAGGTGTATATATAATAGCAATATCTTTCTATCAAATTTAAAGACTTTTATAAAATAATAGAAGCAAAATATTTTTTTATTGAAATTTTTACCTCAAAAAATCAGAAAAAAAGTTAAATTTACCAATTAATAGACAAATTGTCCTTAATAATTAAAATAATATACCTAATTAATTTTAATTTATAATTAATTTTTATTTATTTATTTATTTATTCTTTTTAATTTATTCCCAAAATTTCTATTGGAATTATATTACTAGATTTTTCATAGATACATTACTGTAATTCATTTATTATTAAGTTATTCCTTCTGAAATAAAATTTAAAAACACTGAAATATTTCTTTCATTATTTTTTTATCTATTTTATAGAGATATTCCACCTCTATTTTTTATTTGATAAAAAACTAAATGATATTTAATAAATTAAAATTTTAAAAGTAATAAAATTAATTAAATTCTATTTATGTTTGAAGAAATATTGTAGTTTCTTGCATATTTAAAAAAAATACAAATTAAAATATTTAATTTTTATTTAAAAAATTAGAATAATCATTGAACAATTTGTAGAGAGTTTCAAAGTTGATCAAAAAATTGAAAAGAAACTATGAAATGCTTAATGGAAATAACGTTCCGAGCTTTAACAGTCTAGAAGTATTATCAATATAAAATAAATTAACTCAACAGAAGAAGATTTTATCTGATTAAGATGCTAAAGATAAAAAAGTAGAAGAAAGCAAAAATAGAAATTTCTATGAAACACTAGAATAAAAGATTTCTTAAAATAAAGGCTTTAAATTCTTAAATTCTATATAAAAGTAGGAGGAAGCTGAAGAATAGCTAACTATTATTATGAGCTTCCAAGAAAATCTATCTAACATGATCTAAGAAAAAAATATCGATACAGAATAATTATACAAAATCGAAAATAATGAATTTTTAATTTTGATCAAAGAAGAAATTTAATTACCATTTGAAGTTTAATAGATTTTTGAATTAAAACAATAAAAACAGTATGAATAATAATACATCAACAAAATCAAGAAAAATTCAAAAAAAGTTAAATCAGATGCTGAAGAAAATAAATTAAAAGAAATGAACTTAATATTAAAGCGCATTGATCAAGAAATAGAGTCAAAGCAAAGAATTATAAAACTAATGAAAAATATTATTAACTAATAATTACAGATTAATTCACTTTCTATATTTTAATTTTATTCGTTATGCACTTATTATGATAGGCTATTTAGCAATCGTTAGACAAAGAGCATTTACTTTAGCTGCTAATTAGTATTAGCAATATTTACTAATATAGTATATAACTCATATCTAAATTAATACTTTGAAATAAACACCTAATTTGGTATATTTGATTTATATTTGTATAGGATATTAGTTACTGTTGCTATTAGTCATGCAATTCCTTACTTCTTCTTTGGCATGCTAACTAATATATTTGCTTCAAGCTCGAAAAGGATAAATAAAATGCAGTCACTTGATTTTAATACAATTAATTCTCTAAGAAAAGATTTCATGATCTACTATATAGTAATCGGATTCCTTTAAATGGCATCATGTCTTGGAGGAATTTATTTTTATAGTTTAAATCAAACACTGTTGAATAGCTTTAGTTTAAGCTATCATGTTGCAGAAGTTTTCATATCACTTTTGATAAGTGGAGTATTTATAGATGGTATATTTTTCTTAGCTTATTTGTACTTACTCTCTCCTCAAGAAAAGCTGGAAGATGGAATTTTAAATAAAATAATTGCTTGCAGAGGATTTTATTATTACAAGGGATTTGATAGTTTAGAAATATATAAATAATATTACTTTTCAATAATCATGGAAGATTATTGATAAATTTTTATTGTTACATTTTTTTTCTGTTTCATAATTTTAATTTGTTTTACTTTTTGCAATTAGTACAAAAATTTAAGCTAATTATTTTATTTAAATTTATTTTAAAAATATTTTTATCAAATTAAACAAAAAAAGTTTTTTATTGACAATTTACACAATTAATTAAATGATTTAACACTCAACATAAAATATAAATTTTATTAATCAAAATTTAAAGCACAAGTAGTTTTTTTGTAAATTTATTTTATGAAACATATTAAGATCTATAACTTATTTTTAAACACAAAAGTTACTAAATTTAAATAAAACTTAATCAATTTTAGTTTATATGATAGGAACATATCAATTAAATGGTAAGTATTATAATTATTATATTCTTTCATACAAAATACTTTTTAGATTTGAATGCTTGATTATTAATTAAAAATGTATTTCAGATTTAGAAACAAAATAAATGATAATTAAATGGAAAATAATTTAAAAAATTCTAGAAAAAATAAAATAATTATCATCTAAAAAATAAATAAAATATTAAATAAATATAAAGTATGTAAGAATTAAATGCATAAAAAATAATATGAAATTATAAAATAGTAAATATTAAATGAAAATTTAGTTATTTCAGTATATAACATGAAAAAGACTTTAATAAATAATTAAATGAAGATTTTAAATTAATAATCTAACTCTAATAATAGTTACTATTTAAATAAATAATTATAGAGCTATTTAAATTAAAAGACATATCCAACTAACACCATAAATATGAAATTATAAATTGCTGAGAAAATAGTCAATTTATTTAAATTGATATATATCTTTTAATTTGTAAATTGTACTTTGGTTATAAAGCCTATTCGTTTAAGCTATAATATTTAGCCATGCTAAATGCTTTCAGAATAAGCTTTAGCTTCTGATCTAGGAAACAGATCTGGATGGAAAATAAGTAGCCTTTTAGGTGATTCTAATACCTCATTCAAAACCATTTCTTTTGGTTTATGGTACTATTATTACTAACAAAAAGATGGATAATAATACGAAATAGGAATATCTACTGGATATGATAGTAATTATGAGTTTTTTGAAACTATATTCATTAATTTTTTTATAAAAGGTTTAGATTTATCACTTGAACAGAATTTAATTGGTTTCTGGCACAATGGAGGCCAAAAAAATGTCTAATTTTCAATAAATTTAGGAAATAAAGATAATTAAATACTAACATTTTCTAGCTTTAAAGATTCATATGTAAATAAATGGAGAAGTGCGATACTTGTATTTTATAGTCAAAGTGGTTAAGGATATTTACAGATTAATGATGCATCATTTGAAGATAAATATGTACTATCAGTAAATGTAGGAGAAGTATCAAGCATGCTATAATCATATCCTTAAGCTTTTTTAAATATTGATTATTCTGTAGGATCTATATAAAACTATAATTCATGCTCTAGATAGAAAGATATCTTTTTTCACTATTCAACAGACCAAGAATATTCATTAGACTATATTTTTCAACTTTAATTTAAAACTTCTACTTTGCCACTTTTTTACTTTGACTTTAAATAGTACGACAACTAAGAATAAGTTGTTAATATTTCTCCTAAAAAAAAATTCATGTAAATACAAATTAAAAACTCATTCTAAATCTTTAGTTTTAATTTTTGAATAAAAAATTGACATTTCAAGATTATTTAACATATTTAAATGAAAATTGATAGCACTATTTTATTATTTAAAGGAATCTTTATCTTCTTTCTAATTAATTGATATTTCATTAATTAAAATATAAATTAATTATTTTATTAATTAATAGACATAAAAAATAAATCTACTTTTTTATAAAAATAAAAATTTTTTAAAACAAATATACATAAAGATTTATTAATCTTTGTGAAATTTTATTAAAAATATTTCTCCACTTCCACTGCTATATTATATATTTAAATCAAATATGAATAAACGTGAAAATTTAATAAATTATTTTTTTATTTTAGTAATTTAATGAGTATTGGAATAAATGAAGCGACAAATGGAGATTAATAAGGAAACAATTAGCTCTAATTTCAGGCTGATTCATAGTCTGGCTATTACACATATTATTTAGGTTAAAATTCAATTATAATTTTACCTTAAAATGAAATTTCAAGCATTTTTATCCTTAGCTGTTACATTAAATATGACTCATCAAGTGTAAACATCGTAAACTAAATATAAATATTTAGTTCAGATAACCAAAATTTAATAATTAGCATAATATAAATAAATTCAAATCTTTTTTTAAGTGTCTCAATTAATAACGTGGTTGATCAATCTTTAAAATTTGGTGATAGTGACTCTCGACATAGTTTTGAAATTATGTAAGTAGGTAATAACCTTCAAAATACCTAAATAAAATATTATGTAGATGATAAATTAATAGGAACTATTCAGATAAATAGTCCATTTCTTTTAAATTAATACTTTTAAATTGGATCTACTCAAAATGATTAATTTTTGGATAGTTTTAGTTTTTCAATTCAAGATTTTATTCTTTTTACAAATGCAATTTTAATGCAACCAACTGATATTGATTAAATTGATTCAAGTCTAATAATATAAAATTGTAACTTGTTTGTATCTGCATCCTTAGGTACATCAGGTTTTGCATATTGTCTTGTATGCAACTAAGATTATTCCTTTGACATAAATGGTGTCTGCAATACTAATTAATAATTAAACCCAAAATCACCTCGACCATAAGTTAAAAATTTATTTTAAGCATCAAAAATAAAATCTATAATGTCTAGTGCATCTGATCCATCTTAGAGTAACATTTAGTTTTAAATTAATTAGGATGAAATATCAGATTTCTTGGTTATTGGTTATTTTAAACTAACTAGTTGGTCTAATAATCTTAAAAAAATACCATTACTAACAGTAAGTGTATAGAGTGAATGGTATAATTTCTTAAATTTTTATTTAAATAGTGATACGAATTTAGAATTAAAATAAATAATCGATAATTTAAATGATGTAGAAATTATTTAATAATAACTCCCCTTTTCCATTCTAAATAGATGGCTTGTTTTTGGGATAGGTTATTAACTAAATTAGTAATTATCTTATGCTATTTACTAAGACATTTACACAAACTAGCTACAAAAAATATAAATATCATCTTAATACTAACTAGATTCTAGAATTACTGCATTATCAGTTTAAATTGGCAGTTAAGCTTAAGCAATTTCACTTTTTTCTTCTTTTGTCGGTTAAGTGAGCTCTTTGAAAATTATTTAACAGCCTTTCATATAAAATCTATAATAATATTAGTTTATATTTGAAGGAAATAGTGGTGACTTGGGTCTGCTAAATCCTAACTTTTAAAAGATTGTGAGCTTGAAAGATATTTACACCTTTAATTATGATGCAGATTTAATTATAGATTGTATAGATAATTATTTTTTTCAAGGGGTTTGTATTAATTAACTTTATTGTTCAGAGCTAGGAAGTTAGTAATAATTTTTAGGTGTAAGTAATTCCATGTTTGCTGACTAGAACCAGCAAGCTTGCAATTACTGTGATTCTACTTGTATTTAATGCACTTCTTAAACTGTTTGCTTAGCATGCTAAGTAGGATATTTTTTAGACTAAAATAGCTAATGTATACCTTGTAACTCTTCTCAATACTATGACTTAAAATTAAGTTAATGTGTTGATATTTGCTCAATAGGCTACTATGCTGATAAAATTAACTAAATATGCATCTAAAATTTTGATTTATAATAATATTAAATTCTGCCAAAGTTTTAATTAAGCTACTTTTTTGATAATGAAGGCTTCTATTAAATAGATACATTTGGCGATATTTAAATAAACCAATATACTATTTGTTTTATTGATTTCTCTTATTAAGGCTATTCATTTTTTGGATCTATTTCAAGTGAAGCAGGATATTCAGTGTATATGCAATGGGAAGGTTTTCCTGCACACTATAAAAAATAAGTCAATTTTTATGTTGTTTTATTTAGCTCTCAAAATATAAACGATTTATAGGTTTAAATAAATGGAATTCAAGCTCAATTTATATAAAGTTAATTGGTTACCTAATCATTAAATTAGTGCTAAGGATCAAGTGCTCCACTTAATTTATACTAAGTATATTATGAATTATTGAATAATGATTCAAACTATTAATTAGCCATTTAAACCTCAGGATAAGGATTTGCTGTAAGAAATGTAAATGTTAGTGTTCAAAAATGCCATAATACTTGTATATCATGTTAAAACGGTCCAAATCAGACTGATTGCATAGAGTGTGAATTAGGAAATGCTTCAAAAATAGATAATTAATGTGTGTGCTAGTAAAACGAATATGCATATTTCATGAATTGCTATTCTCCACCATGCTTTAAATGCAATCCTTGTATCTTAAGTAATTGTAGCTAGTGTGAAGATTTTACAGGGAATTGTTTAAAATGCTAAACTGGATTTGTTATTTAAGATGGTTAATGCTAGAAAGCGTGCAATTAATTTTACAGTATTGATAAATCTCAAGCAAACTAAATATGTGTAAAAGCATAAGATTTAATTATATCTAACTTTATAGATGGAAGAGTAGTTTAATATTTAGATTTTTGGAATTTATCTTTTCAATATACTAATCCATTTTCCTGTTTTGAATAATCTTTTTTACCTGATATATCATAAGGATAATACTATCAATTACAATACAATTTCAATAATTTTTAAAGTTACCATAATTAAATAGCAATATAAATTGGTGTTATAGAGATAGGATAGTTTTCTTCTGGAGATTAAATTTTAATTTCTGAATCTAATGAATAAGTTTTATAACAGCCAATTTAAAGCAACTAATTAAGTTGCAGTACTTTATCTGATTATTAAAGTTCTATCAATCAAATTCAAATAGCGATAAATAAAGCAAACGGACAAATTAATTTTATTTTCTAAGCTAATACAAATCCTGGAACCAATTAAGAAAACCTTTCAATTGGACAATTTTTGTTATTTTTCTGTAATATTTAAATAATCTTTAATAAAAATTTTAATTCATTTTAGTTTTTTATTAATTTTAAATAAGTGAAATTATATTAATTAACATGTTTATTAATTTAGAAAGAATACAGCCTCTTTGTGCAAGTTACGATCAAAGCAGCTTTTTATGCATTAATTGCTTTCAGAATGCAGCTTTAGACGCAAAAGGATATTGTCAATGCCAAGAAGGATACTATTACAGCTATGATTTCACAAAAACTTAAGCTTCATGCAATTTATGTAATGCTGCTTGCAAATTTTGTAGCGGACCTTCTTTTTGGGATTGTGTTACATGCGCTGAAGGTTATATGTATGATGGCTCTAAGTGTATAATTTGCAACATTGGATTTTATTTTGATTAATAAGAATTAAAGTGCTTACCTTGCAATACTTTTTGCTTCGAGTGCACAGGCCCTAGCTAGCATGAATGCATAAGTTGCACGTTAGGATTTTATTTATATCAAGGGAGATGCTTTGAAAATTGCCAAATAGCTGATCCTTCTACTGTCAATGATGATTTTAGTAAATAGTGTGTTTAAAGTAGAATTAGTTAGGGATAGTAACTTTTTTACTTTAATGAATAGTTTACAGAAGAAAATATTGATTTATATGTCAAATCAAAAACATTAGGGATAACTTAAATATATTTATGTGGATAAAATTAAGATGATATGGTAGGTTTATATTTTTAATTGGCTTAATTTGTAATACCAAGTTTATAACCCCATTAGACTATGAAAATATACTTCTAATTGTATATTACAAGTAGTTGCTTGAATTGTTCAATTTAGCTCATAAGCTAAAACGGATAAGTTATTGGATAAACAGTAAATATTTAATAGTAGGACTGTGATATCAATTCATTAATTAGCTTTTCTTTTATCATTTAAGATTCTAGTTTTGTTATTCAAGATTACTTATTCACTGTTTCTTTTGTTGAAAATATTAATTTTGCAATTAGAAATATCTAAGTATCAACTATAATTTGCCATCCAACTTGTGCTAAATGTTCAGGACCTTTGGAAACTGATTGCACAGAGTGTCCAATTAACGCAGAATTAGATCCAATAAATAAAAATTGTAAATGCACTTAGCTTGGTTTTGGATTTGGAATTTCTGATTAATCTTTATGCAATTCATAATTTTCTTGCCTATCATGTGTTTAATGTTAATATCCTTGCAAAACATGCTATGCAGCAAATGTTTATTCTTGCAATAGTTGTGCTTAAAACTACATACCATTCTTAGAATATTGTGTTTAGTAGTGTCCTTCTTTAATTTCTTTGCAGTATTTAAATAAGTAAACAAATTAGATTGTCTGTCTTCCTTGTCCAAAACCTTGTCTAGAATGTAATTCCAATGGAAATTGTTTATCTTGCTTAAATGGATATTTATACCTAAAAGATAAGTAATAATGTTTAACAAGTTGTCCTACTAATAATTATTATCTTGATATATCAACAAACACATGCTTAAATTGCCATTATTCTTGCCTGTCCTGCTCTGGGCCAACTTAGTATGACTGTATCAACTGTATAGATGGAATGTATTACGATAATTAGTTAAATGTATGTGATTATTGCAACTCTTTGTGCTAAACATGTATATAATCTACAAATTATGATTGTATCTAGTGCTCTCAAGATGTTACTCTTTTTTAACCAGCTTCTGATATAAAAATATGCACTGTACAATGTGATGAATATCCAGGATACTTTCTCGAATAATATACTGATTAATAAAGTCTTTAAGTTGTAAGCACTTGCTCAAAATGTGCAGAAAATTGTTTATCTTGTTACAGTAGCTAAAATGGATGTTATTAATGTAGTGATGGATTCTATTTGAATGAAAATTATGAGTGTGATCCATGTGATGACTCTTGTCTCACTTGCTTTAGTTATAAATAAAATAACTGTTTATCATGCATTTAATCTCTAGTATTATATAATGGTCAATGCGTTTAATAGTGTCCTCTTTAATATTATATAAACTAACTGCCAAATAATAAAAAGGAGTGCATTCTATGCCCTAGCTAATGTATCGCATGCACTTCAAATTAAAACTGCTTTACATGTGCATATGGATATTACAAATAAGATACACAGTGTTTAATGTGTTAAAATAATTGTGAAATATGCTATGGTTTGTAAGGTATGTATTGCTAAAAATGTAGATCATCATATTACTTACAAAATAGCTTATGTGTACAATAATGCTAAGTAGTTAACAATATTGGTTATTACATGGATATTGCTTCTAGAACTTGTAAGTAATGCGATTAATCTTGTCATGAATGTTTTAATCCATAGTCAACAGGCTGTAAATCTTGCAGAGATGGTTACTATTTACTTTCTGGTATATGTTATGGATGCCCTTCTAATTCTCTTTAATGTTACTATGACGATTAATAGAAGTAAATTCTAGCAATTCAGTGTGCGAACCCTTATTTTCTTTTTTAAGGGTTCTGCAAAAAAAGCTGTCCTTTAAGTAATTTAATTTGTTTTTTTTCTTTTAAACCAAGAAAAATTTAAAAATATTATTTGGTCAAACTGATTATAAAATAAATTTTTTATCGCTAAATGAATTTAAATTTGAAAGAAGCTTAGTTAATTCAATTCATTTTTTTCTATTCAAATTTGATTTTATATTTTAAAATGGTTTTGTTCAAAGTTAAAGCAGTGAGCACAAAAAAAGTTTTAATTTTTTGAGTTGGGTTTGAAATTATTATGGTAGAGATAAAAAAATAAATTTTAAAATAAAATAAATAAAAATTATCTCTGAATTAAATTTTTTAAAGAAGCATTCATTATTCAAAAATATTAATTTATAATAATTAGTGCTTTTATTTGTTTACTTTAAATTAAAATTAATATTTTTAAGATAAATAATAATTTTTTAATAGATTTTTATCAAGATGTAGCATCGAATACATGCAAATTATGTAATTTAGCATGTTCTCAGTGTACTGGTCCTTTAAGTTAATAGTGCTAGTAATGTAATAATGGTTATTTTTATGCTGGCTAGAACACATGTTTACCTTGTTAATAAGGTAGTGGTGTAGGAGTTTATGATTGCATCTCTTGTTCATCATTTAATTATTGTCTTAAATGCTAAACTTTAATAAATTTTAATGGTATGTGCTTAAGCTAATGTCTAGAAAATTATTATTTCAACTAATAATAGCAAAATTGTTAAAGATGCAATTTTCCTTGTCTTAATTGTTCAGATTAAAATACTTGTACTAGTTGCATAGATGGTTATTATTTACTAGGAGACTATTGCCTTAAATGTGATGTAAAGTGTAAAACCTGTAACGGTGGAACAGATTAAGACTGTCTTTTGTGTAACTAACCTTTCATGCCATAATAAATAGATCAAATTGAATGTGTAATTAAATGCAGCATCGGATATTATCAAACTAATTATAGTTGCTTAAAATGTAATAAAGCTTGTTCATAGTGTATTGATCAAACAAATGTTTGTGAGGTATGTGCTGAAGGTTATTATAAAAATTCTGACTAGTCCTGTTAACCTTGTGAAGATTTTTGTTAGATTTGCACAGGAATAAATAGTTGCACTCAATGTTAAAATGGATATTTATTATTTTAAGGTACCTGCTTAGAATAGTGCCCAGAGGGTTACTTAAATTCAAATGGAATTTGTATACCATGTAATTCTAATTGCAAAAGCTGCTAAATTAGCATAGACAATTGTGTATCATGCAATGATGGTTATTATATTTTGAATAATGCATGCCTACCTTGTGTAAATAACTGTTCTCTTTGTAGCTCTTCAACTAGTTGCACGAAATGCCAATTAGGTATTTTTATTCTTTGGTTAATGTTTCATTTATTATTCTAATTTTAAAAATAGGATATTTTCTAGAAGACAGTATTTGTAAAACATAATGTCAAAAAGAAGGTTTTTATTAAGATTATACTTAGTATATGTGCCTGCCATGTGATGCTAGCTGTAGAAATTGCATATCTGGAGCTTTTAATAAATGTTTAAACTGTTATGATGGATATTACTTAGAGAATGATCCATAATCATAAAGATGCTTACCTTGTAACTCTCTCTGTACTTAATGTTTTGGTGCATCTAATTCTAATTGTTTAAGGTGTAGATTGGGAGTAAAGTTTGATTAAATTAACTAGACATGTATTTCTTGTCCTTCTAAGTAATTTTACAATAGCCAAAGTGGAGTTTGTGAATAATGTTCTCCATCATGCTTAGAATGTTTTGGACCTTCTAAAAATAATTGTATAAGTTGTAATGCCTCTACGTTTCTTAATATAGATACTGATACATGCGAAGCGTGTTTTCCTTCATGCATGAATTGCTATAACGGCTAGCAATGCATAAAATGCTAATAAGGTATTAAAATATAATTTTTCTTTAATGATTAATATGTTTATTTTAAAATAAAATAGGTTTTTATCTTATTGATAACTAATATTGCTTATAGTAATGTCCAAACTAAATGAGAGTCTTAGATGATAAATGCTTATGTAATGAAACTTGTGCAAAATGTACTTATGACCCCATAAATAATTAGAGTATTTGCATTAGGTGTATCAATGATGAGTATTTACTTTATGATAATTAATCTAATTGCATAAAAATCACTGAGTGCTAATATTACAAAGATTATACAACAAATTCATGTACTGAATAATGTCCTTCAACAGCATTATACATAGATTTAGTAAACAAAGCTTGTTAATATTCTTAATGCAGTGATAATTAATATTTATTTAATAGCAAATACTGTATTTCATCCTGTCCTGATAATTTTTATGCTGATAGCTAAAATATTTGTTAACCATGTAATTATAAGTGCTAAAAATGCTTTGGCCCCTCCGATAACAATTGCATAGAATGTATTTAAAATGTAATTCTTTTGTATGTGATTAAAATTTTAAAATATCCTTTTTTAATAAATAAAAGTATTATTTTCATCAAGGCATAAATGCATGCTAAGACAGTTGCATCCAAGGATATGTTTTGTAATAGTAGAATAACTATTAATGCTAAGTTTGTAAGTAAAATTGCAAAGCCTGTGTTAACTCATTAGTGCTATTTTAAGGAGATTGCTTATAAAATTGTCCATAGGGTTTCTCTGAGAATGCAGGTGGTTATTGCTTTTATAATCCTGATCCTAGTATAAGAATATATAATCTGCAATAAAACCAAACAATATCATTGATTTAAGATACCTAAATAGAAGCAAGTCTATTCTCAAATAATAATCCAACCAGAATATAGTGGGATATTATCCAAACAAATGACAACAGTTTCGTAAAAAGCTTTTAAACTATTCAGTCTTTTGATTTATTCCAGCTAATTCCTTACATTATTCTTTCTCGTAAATTATTTTTTTTCAAACAATTATTTTATATAATTTTATTTTTTTAGCTTCAAGCTATTATATTTTTAGAATTACTATTGAGCTGACAGAAGATATATAACTTTAGGATAGTATACAATTAAATACACCTTAATCTATTAAAGCAGGCAAATTTTTAACAGATAAAAAATAAGGTGATTCATAATCAAGCTTTGTATTTTTTATATCAGATTGGTAATATGATCAAATTATTTACTACGATCTAAGCTTCTATGAAGTTTTTAGGATACTAGAAAGTGAGAATTTAAATTTGTAAGATGGAAGTAATAGTAATAATAATAATAAAATCTATGATTTTTATAAAGATAACTTATTTAGAGTTCACAAACATATCTAAATAGAAGGTCCAATATAATTTACATATACTTTTCAGCCAATTTCAGTTAATGTAAACTTATTCTGCGAATTGAAAGTCTATGATGATTTTAACTATGATACTGTATATCAATACATCCTACTTTAGGTAAATTCTTATGATTTGCCAGAGGACTAAATAGCAGCAGCTGAAAGTACACTAAATATAATTAAAAGTTCAAATAATGATGAAGTTATTTAGAACTTGATCTTTAACTATTCTTTTTAAATGAGGATTTTAATTGTAAGAGATTAAGAGAAAGAATAATCTCTAAAAAATTAAATAAATCTAAGATCAATAGCCTATTTATCAGGTATAGACGCTACTTAATTATCGTTGTGTGACAATACAATTGACTGCTACGGTAACGGTAAATGTGTAAATAACCCACTTTTATTTACCAAATGTTCATGTAAAAGTGGGTATTTTGGGTACAGTTGTGAGTGGGAAGAAAATTAATATAATTTAATTAATGAGTCATTTTAAACTATTTTTTAACAAATAACAAATTTTGAAAACATCATTATTATTTAAATTATTGAAAATATTGCATATTACTTCTCATTGTATTCATCAAATTTGACTTTGATATAAAGTGCCTATCAAATTTTTTTTGATGCAACACAAAATTATATCGAAAATACTTAGATAGATTAAGTAGATGGCTAAATTTTGTAAAGGAGCTCTTCATATGTAATTTCTTAGCTTTAAGGGTTAAACATAGATATTTAGGATTTAATTTAATTAAATTAAAAAATAACACAAATGATATCTTCATCACTAAACATAGGTGATAAGCTCATTTCCTACTCAGACTCTAGCAATTTCATTTCTTATCCTTATTTAATTACAAGTAGTGCTAATACTACTTAATCTAATAGGAGAATGCTTTAAAATTCTTAATAAGATTCTCTATCTAAATAAAATATTACTTTATCTTTGAACAGCTTCACTGTTTAGTTTCCAGCTGAAATTATTTAAAGTACCTCTAAATAAGTTATAGTAGCACAATAATGGACATAAGACCCAAGACAAGCTCCTTTTGCAGTTTCATAAACTGTATCTTTATAAGTTTAATAGAATGGTATTGAGATGAATGTTCAAAACACTAATTAACCTATTATTATTACTCTTCCTAAAATAATACCTTCACCTATATCAGAAGACACAAGTTCCATAAGCTGTAGCTTTTATGATGAAATTACAAACTCATTTTAAGTAAATTTAAAATAAATTTTTGAATTTTTGATAAAATGAAATTTATTTTGAAGAATGAAGGTTGTACATTTGTTAAAGAAACCATACTAAATATAGTATGCTCATGTACACATTTGACAGATTTTACTGCATAGAAGATATAGAATTAGAGTGTAAAGAATTATATAGATTTAGGTTCGCTTATAACAACTATGAACCAAGGATAAGAAGAACTATAAAACTTAAATTAAAAAATAGCTATAATATCATTACCAACTTTAGCAATAGGTAAAATTAATTATCTTTATAATTTATGGAAATTAAAATACTTTTTATACATTTAAGGTTAAAGATAGGTTAGTTTAGTTACATAATTGTAAGTTATTTAAAGTGGAGGAATCAATTAATTTTTATAGAGAAACATGATATTTTTAAAGGAGGATCCAGATTACGTTAATGATAATCTTGATATACTTCATTAAGATTTGATCAGTTTATATTATGATTAAGAGATAAATCAGACATAAAGCACCAAATCATTTTAAATAAATAAATTATAAGCATTGTTCTATATGCTTATTGTACTTGTCTTCGTTCTCCATATTTCAATGAGAGCTTGCTTAAGATTTAAACGTACTAAATTATCCTAACTATAATTATGTCTGATATATCAAACATAAAAGAAAATAGATAAGCTTTTAAATAATGAATACAATCGAATTAAAATTTAGAAAAAAAAATTTGAAAAAGCTAAAACTATTTAAAAAAAGTTTGATATGTCCAAGTTTAAGTTCACCTTATAAAAATAAAGAGCTTCCATAAAAAAAACTGATGAAAATATTTAAGGATAAGACAAACAGAATGCTTAAAAAAAAGATAGTGTGATAAAATTCTAAGATTAAGAGCAGGAAACAATTTTTACTTAATCTCCTCCTTTGATCTCATTGGAGCTAGAATCTATCTTTTCACCAAAAAATATGAAATTAGAAACTAATAAATCTAAAGATTAGGTGAAGCATATGGAAAAATAAAATCCTCATTTTTAATAAAAATAGGATTAAGAACCTGAGTTTTCTATTAAGGGCTCTTCCCCTTCTTTTACAAAATCAAACAGCACTATGGCTTATGATTAGTCGAAATCTCCAAATTAATATTCTATTTCATATAAAAGATCTATATTTTCTAGAAATCAAGTAACATATATGAGATTTAATTAAACAGATAATTAGTTTACATTAACATAAGATGAGTGTGCAGATGATAATCAGAATTATGATACTAAATGCACTGATGGAAATTTAATTACAGAGAGTAATTTATTAATTAGTGATCGGATAGATAGATTATAAAATAACAATTTTGAGTCTGGATTTAGTAAAAATTAAAACCAAGAATATATTAAATAAAATAATTTATTATAATAATTAACTGAATCAGATGATGGTATTTTAGAAGAGTAAACAATCTAATTAAAAGAAGAGAATAAAATTTTAGAATAAATTGCTCCAAAAAATATATCTCTTCTAACAAATTAACAAAATAATAGATAAATTAGAACCTAACAATATAAATCTAACTATTTGGAATTATTTTCATAAAAACCTTTAAAATAAAATATTTACTCAAATATAAATTATCCAAAAAATTCTTTTGAATCAGATTCATATTAATAAATTACAGAATAATCAGATTCAATAATAGAAACCTCAAATTTAAAAAGCCTTTAATCTTAAAACGTTAATTAAAGTGAATAAATTTTGAAATTTGAGTAAAAAGATAATTCGATAGATAATAATTCAAATGAATTTTAATTAACTCCAATAAAAAAAAATAAAAAAAGTATTTTAAAAACAGATCAAAAAATTGAATTAGATGAAGATTACTAAAATGTAATAAAAAACTAAAGATAAAAATTAATAAATCCTAGATGTAAGTTTTAATTGATTTGAAAATTTATTTAACTTTTTTTTTTTAATTAGATAAATCGATGAAGAATTATTTACAAACCAAGAATTTATTGGAAAATATTAAAGAAAATAATAAATTTTTGTAAGATGCAAATAGGAAGTCTTACACAAAGAGGCAAACTACTAAAATATTAAATTTATCTAAATTTTAAAAAGATATAGATGATAAAAAGAGAGTTTCTGAAATTGCTTATTTTTCTTAAAAATTTGACTATTTGAAAAATGATAAAATTAAAAGCAGTAAGGCATTTAAATTTATTTAGTCTGTTTGGAAAAAAAAATTGGTTGCTTAAAGCTTAGAAAATCTCATAGAAATAAAGAAACTGATTAATATTCTTAAAAATTCTGATAATTTAAATCCTCTTAACAATGATATAAATATTTAGAGAAGGTAACTTCTGGCTTATTTATATGGCTACCTTTCTCATGAATGCTAAAACGGAGAACATGTTTTATAGAATTATTAAACAGAATATAAAAATGATTTTTAGCTTAATTAAATGGAAGAAAATGCCTAGATTAAATAAAAGCTTCAAAACTTAAAATAATAAATAAATAAATTTGTAAAAAAAAATAAAAAAATTGATTAGAGTAATATAGAGCAGCTATAAAATTATCAAAGATAAGATATTATGAAAGATGATCCATTTATTAATTTATTTAGAAAATACTCTTATAATAAGATATCTAAATATGTATTAGATGAAGACTATTTACTTGAATTTCTTAAGTAATAGATAGATGTGAAAATTAGTCTAGTAAAAATAATTGACTTTACTTTAGATTCATAACTTAATATAACTAAATTCGATATGATTTAATTATTTTCATTATTCAGATAGCAATAAAGAGTCTACTCTTCTCAATTCACTAAATGCTTATTCTTTTGCACATAAATTGTAATCACTGCAACAGCTAATGTATTGTTGATTCCTTACACTTCTAACTAGGATATTGCTATAGATAATATTTTTTTAACTTATTCTCATTAAAGGATTTTTATTTCTCTAGTTTTAGGATATCTAATATCTTATTTTTTCTTTGGATGTTTGACTGGAATATTTGCAAAATCAACTAAAAGTCTTTAGAATATAAATTTAAATTAAATTTACATAAGCTAACAAATATTTTAACTTCTTTACTTACTAATAGGTATATTTTAAATTAGCTTTTCGTTAAAATGTTTATATTCTTTAAAAGATGACTAAGTGCTGTAGAGTCATTTTTAATTTTCATACTTCTTTTTTGAAATTATAGCAAGTATTGTTTTGAGCAATACTTTAATCGATGGTTTGCTTTATATATATTACATTCTAATAGCAAAGTATAAGTATGAAGATGAATCACAAAGTAGATTTTTATTCATTTTAGCATGTAGAGGATATTACTATTTTAAAGGATTTGATAATATCAAAATACATGAAATGCTCCTAATTAAGGATTAAATTCCATAAAATTTAAATACGAATTGATTAATTCAAAAAATTTATGTAAATGTTTGTTTTTTCTGCTTTTTATGAAAATTGAATAGATTTTTTTTTTCAGCTTTTATTATTTAATGCTTATTAAACTTATTTTTAAATTAGGTAATTGCATTTTTTAAATTTTTTATTGAATATTTTAATTAATTTTACAATTAAAATTTTTATTATGTACTGAAAAAAAAAGTTTATCAAAATAAAAATAAAAATTTTACAAAAAATTTGAATTTGAAATTAAAACTAATATAAAGTTATTTATATTTTACAGCATATAATTCTTAAAAAGAAAGACTTAAGATTTAATTGACTATTGAAATTAAATTACATCAGCTAAAAGTTTTAAGCTGAAGAGTAGGTTTATTTTATTATTGCTATTGTTATTGTTGTTGCTGTTAGGCTTATTGTTAAGCTTATATGACTCTGGAGTCTGCTTTTAGCAAATTTTGTAATACTTACTATAATTTTGGTGGCAGAGTTTTGATAATTACACCAATATCTTAGAGAGAAACTGAAGAAACTACATGCTTAAGAATTTGGTTTACAAGCTATAGAATATCTACAGCATCTGGTTATGAAAATCTCTAGTTGACAAATAACATAAAGAATCTTAAGAAGAATTCAAAACAATTTTTCTTTTATTATTCGTTTCCATGAACATTAACGAGCAAGAAGATTTTAAGTACTTCAATAACAGAGTTCTTAAGCTATTCATCGAGTTATTAGCCTTATTACAGGACAGATTTCAATTTTTGCATGACATTTAAGCATATAAAGAAAATAGGACTTATTAGTTAGTCATCCAATATCTTATTTTCATTGAAAACGCTTCTTGTGTAAGATAAAAAGGTAGTTATGCTTTGTAAATTTTTCAACAAATGAGACAAGCATGCTGAAAACATAGAATTTAGTTTATTTGTAGACGAGGAGTTTAATCTGTTAATGTTTGAAATTAGAGAATCATGAACTGAAAAATAATTTAAGATGCAAAAGTAGAGTCTGTTTTCCTAGTTTGCTCCATTTTTATCTATTTCAAAGCTATGCAAATCAATCAAAGAATTTATAATTTATTCAATAGCTTTTTCGCTTTCTTCTGTTTAAGGAAAAGAATGGATTTTATCTTTTACTATTTTTATTTAAAAGTAATTAACATAAATAATTTAATTATAATGTTATTATTCAATTTAATTTACATATTGTTGTAAATGCTCTTCTTAATGGTAAGATGTCATTATATGAGAAATGATAGCAGAGCTTTGTAAAAAGGATATAGGCGGTAAATGAGAATTTTTCAGAAAAGCAATTTAATTAGTTTAAGCTCTTAAGGATACTTAGTTTTAAAATAAACGAAGATTTGATAATATTTAAGTAGGTTATGCTATCTTGCTAAGAACTCATTTTCTTTTCTAAGTATCTTGCCAATATTATTTCTAACATCTATTCTATTTGATTCAAAACCTATTCTGAAAGTAGATTTCCTGCTCTAACTGTTATAGTAGCTATTTCTATACATATCTGATCAAAATCAAGCAATCCATAATCTAAATAAATGATAAGAACCTCAAACAACTCTTCAAAACTTATTTTTTAAACATTTTAAGTTTTTTAAGTGAAGTTATTGAAAAGAGCTGGTTATTCTTCTGTTAGAAGCTCACTCATTCTAGATTCCAATAGTTATTTCATAATACCAAGTATTTGTAACTTATGATTAAGCTTTTTTAATAGAGAAATATCAACCATCTATGTTTGGATCTTTTTAATGTATTGCTCTTCTTAATCAATGCTTGTGTTAGAACACAATTAGAAAAGAAGGGTTGAGTAACATATGTGACTCATTTTAGGACCATGATTAAGGTATTTTTCATTTGATTTGAGTTTGTTAATAAGATCTTGCTATTCTTAATTATCTATTTGAATGTTCTTAACTGCTTCGCTTAAAACTAAATAATATTTTACAAAATTAGAAAGCATGTAATAATGCATTTTAACATCATAAGATGTCTTAACACCATTGTAAATCAAGTAGTAATTATTGTAGCTCTTTATTTATTTTCTACTTGCTGCTAACACTACTGAAGTATCTAATATAGCAGCTTGAACATTTTATAGTAGGTACATTAATAATCTATTATATTAATTAATCATTGAATATCTGCAAAACTATAAAAAATATTTACATTGGAGGAAAGGCTCCAAACAAACTTTATTAGAGTTCTCTGTTTTTAACTCTGTTCTAGATGAAAATGTAAATCTTACAAAGACACTCGATTCTTCTAATCTAGATTGATGTTGTGGATTTTTCACTGTAGAACGATTAGAATGTAACTAGATTGAATGAAAAATAATAAGAAGTTGATAAAAAATTAATTGAATTTTACTTTTAATATTATTTAAAAGAGGTTTAGAGACTAAATTAATAAGTCTTTTTATGAACCCAATATCAGAATCCAATATGATTTTAAAGAATTTTGACATTAATTAGAAAGTGAAAATATTCACTTCAGGAGTATTTTCACTTTCATTCTTGATGTTTTGGCTGACAACTGAATCAATCTAGGCAGGGTAATCTTTCAACAAAAGATTTCTTTATTCTTCATAGTTAATTTTACCAGTAATCATTTCTCCATCGCCAGTCATTTTTTTTATTTTCTAATTTTAAAAAAAAATAATTTAAAAACTAATAAATTTTAATAAACATTTTTTACAGCTAAGAAATTCATTAATATTTGCATTCCAGGTGCCCTGAACTCTTCATGAGAAGAAGTTACAATTTTGAAAATAAAAGTAAAGATAAATTGAGTGAAATTAGCTATAGAGTCTTTTGCTATATCTTTTGGATCCCACTCTCTTAAGAAATTTTCTACACAAGATAAAACAAATATCTTTGTCCTTAAGTTAATATCAATCAAATCTTCCTTTGAGTATTCCTTTTTTTCATTCTATTTCTTATTCACTGCTTCATCATCGTCTCCCTTCTTAATTTCAAAAGATTCACCAAATAAAATAAAAGAAAACATTTCCAATTTCTTTTAGCAAACTGACAAAGAAAACTTCTCCTTTTCTTCAATCAAGTTAGAATATAAAACCTCAATATTTTCAGCTATATAATAATCTTTCCTAGTGTTAAAGTAATTCATTTTTCTTATCAAATGATTTAGCAAGTATTCTTTTTCTGTAATTAAAAATTCATTTTAAAAATATAATTGTTAGATTTCTAAAAATTTTACCTGTTTTTAAATATTCTAAACTATTTTTATCGTTAGTCATTTTCTCAATAGTTTTTTTTCTATCATTAATCATTTTCTCTATTGTTTTTAAAACAATTTAAACTGAGCTATTATTATATTTGTAAATTTGATCAAGATCTTATCTCAACCCATAAAGAGCTTTTTCTTGATCTTGCGGTGACTTGAAAATAGAGCTAAATATTAAGTGCAAGTGATTGGCTAAAACTTAAGTATCAGCAGATGGTATATCAATGTAAGGAAAAACTTAGTGTTAAACCTCCCAAAAAGAGCTTTAGAAATTTGAAAAAATAGCTTTGTCTTCAATCATTTTAGGTATTTTTCTTATAAGCTTTAAAATTTTTTCCAACATTGTTTTATAAAGTTGGTTCCATAAATACTCAAAAGGTAAAACCTATCTAAGATGCTACATATTTATAAATAAAAAGCAAGAACGTATAATTTCGATTGAATCTTCTTGATAAGATTCTATTACTTTTGTAAGAGATTAAATTAGCCAAAGTTAGGTTGATTAATCTGGGTTTTTGCTTGCTTTCTAAAATATTCCTGCTATGCTTTAAATATGTTCTTCAATAACTTTGAACTTATTATATTTGCATATAAATCCAGCACATGAAACTATTGAAGAACTGAGTTCATTTTTTACAATTTTTTCTTATAAATTTCTAATTGATAAAAAAATAAATTATATTTTATTATGTACTTTAAATTATCAAAATTTAATAATTTTATTGTTAAAATATTCTTCTACCAAAATTTTAATAAAAAGTTATTTTAAATATTTAAAAAAAATAATATATTTGGGAAAAGTTTAAATATTATAAAGTATATATTTTATTTTTTACTTAATTAAAGTCTCAACATAAGGTGTGTTAGTTTTAATACCTACTAATAAAGCATATGAGCCACCTGCTAAAGTTCTAATTATATGGTCATCACTTGAAAACCCACTCTCTGTCATTTACTTTAGATACTATACTATTTCAACTTCAATAGGCTCTAAGTTGTTTTTAGATTGTGCTTCTCTTATTTTCCTTGCTATGAAAATACTAACTAGCAAAAATGGCTAAAGCTTCAAGAACTTAAGATTTTAATCTTTCAATGCAAAGATACCACTTTAATTATTGACCATATATTTAAGTAAATTAATTTTGTTCTTGCTTGTGAAGCTATGCGAAGCAAGAATACGGCCAATAAACTCAAATTGCTAGAAGCAGAGTTAAATAGAAAAAGCATAATTCTTTTCCTAATATTTGAGGTAAACTTGATCATAAGTAAGCAAATAATCCTCATTTCTCTAGATATTATGGTCTTAAAGTTTTTTTATATTTGAGCTATTAAATAGTTTGAATCTAACATTGCTTTCTTGTAATTCCAATCCAATATTTAGATCATCTCCGTCCATTAATCCTTTAAGTGAAGGAGTAAAATCATTCTAATTCATAGTGAAAATATCATCAACTGATGTTTAAATTAATGCATTTATATGCTATGAAATGAGTTTTGGAGGGAACAAATTAAGACAAGAATACAAATCTATTTTTGCTAGAACTAAATCATTATGGTTTTTAGGTATTTGGAAACCTAAATCTTTTTCAGTAGGAGCTATATACTGCTAATAGAAGTTAATTACTAAATTAGCACAGAATTTAAGCACCATTTCTGTGTGTAAACGATTTAAATTTTTGAGGAAATAGTGAATACCCTTAAGTGCTTTTCTTTTTGCATTTAAATCTGATATGAAGTTACTTAATTTACTTGTTTCTTTTCTTTTTTATCCAAGAACATCTTACCACATATTGTATATGGATTTAATTTCCTACTTTAACCAGTTGACATCTAAACAGAGTAAGGTATTAATTAAAGTCCAGCCTGCTTAATATCTTATAGAATTAATGAAGTGGAGTTCTTCTGAATGAGGGTCTTCAGACTTATATTCTGTCTTTACTAAACTAGAGTTTTTAACAGAAATTTAGAAAAATGTTTTTAAAATTTTAATTAATTAATTAATTTTACCCTTTTGCAAATTCAAACATAGTCATGGCTATATCATATGGTATTGAGTGCAAATTGAAATCCATGTGTTTTAGTAGAGTTCCGAGGGCAATCGAATGTCCATATCTAATTTATTTGAATACAAACTATTAAAAATTTTACAATTTTACTAAAATATTTACATAGAAGAAACATAGAGTTTAAATTATGGGTCTTGGATATTGCAAACTTCTTTCATAGATTCTAGCTCAGCTAAGTCTAAGGTCATCTAATTTAATATCAAAGAGAGTATATTTGTTTGCCATTTTGGATTTTCTGAAAAGAGAGCTTTCATAACATGGGAACCTAAAAGGTAAAATTGAGGGTTGTTGAATTAAAAGAAAGGCGATAAGAGTTCACACATTTCGTTTGGCTTTTTAATCTATTCAAACAAATCTGATCCTAGAATCTAAACTAAGGCAAAAAAGCAACGGAGGGCTATTAATGACTGATGCTATAAACTCTATTAATTTTTCTGGCTATTCAAGTTATTAGGATTCTAAAGGTACCTTAAGTATATGTCTTTATAAGCTTTTCCAAAATCAGGTAATTTTCTCTTCAGGTATTCGTATAGCTCAAATTTTTATTTATTATTCAAGAATACTAACAGTTTAATTATAAACATGCCCATTATATCTCTCACAACAAAAGTATCATGATCTTATGCGAATGCCATCTAGTTTTTCAAATTTATTAATCGAATAAATATAAAATGAAATTTAAATAAATACTTTGCTTATCTATGAAAAGAAAAATTCTAGAATATTGCTGAAAAAGGTCATGCTCATGTTGCTTTCTTATTTGTAAATGATATTATAAAAAATTTCTATCACAATAAGTCTCAAGTTTTTTCCATCTATTTTATTAAATTATCTTTAATATCCAAAATTTATTTTAGTCATTTGTACGTTCATTTAGATGATCAGTTAGTAAATTTAAAATTATTTTAAACTTATCTTTAGGTTCTGTGCTTTCTGGTGCAGGCTTAGGCTACTCTTTTTTCCCTTTTTTAGCTTTTAATTCTTTTATCAAGTTTTCCATGTCACTATTAATATAGAGCTCTAAAAGAAGTTCTATAGATTCTGCACAAGCCTTTTTATAAACCCAATCTTTGCTCTCTTGCAATTACTTTTAAAATGGAAATAAATTCATTAATATCTTAAATTAAATACAAAAATATTTGAATACTTTATATATATCAGTTAATAGTGCTTCGTAATTCGGAGCCATGAAGGGTGCATCTGCAAATTTTAAAAAGTCAATCAGAGTAATCATAGCTTCTTTTCTTAATTCATCAGATTTATCCTTTTGATTAAATAAAAGATATATATATATCAACAACAGCTTTAGAAGAAATAAATCGTTTAAAGACTTATAAAATGACTTACAGAAAACATGAATTTTGTGATCAATTTATAAGTTTCAGCTTTATTGTTTGCATTTACATTAACTTGCTCTCTTATTAAATATCTAAACACTTTCATACTATTAATTCTAAGAGGAATTTCGTTATTTTTTTTCAAAATTTTTAAAAGATTTTAAAGCACTTCATTTAATTAAGGATAAGACAAAGTAATATTTCTTCTAAACTCCATCACAAAGATGAGCACTTAGAAATGATTTCTATATTATTTAACAATTTATTTTTTTTAAATAAAGAATATACTATTATTATTCATTTATTTACGTTTTTTATATATTTTTTGGTTTTATTCCATTTACCATTAAATCAAGAAGAGAGGAAGACTTTCCTGAATCCTACTTAATTGTTGCCATAATTACTCTGCCAATCGCTCTTGCAAAAGTATCTTAGTTTGCATAATCTATAAAATTAAATGCTAAGCTATCTGTTAAAAGCTTTTCTAAAGATGTATAGTTTTCTTTTAATTCTGCCTATTTTTGAAAAATTATTTTTAATATGAAATCATTTAGATTTTAAATGCTATCAACCTAAACGCTAGAATTTTTTTCTATATAACTGCCTAACTAATGAAAACATTCAAATAATTTATTAAAATGTGATATCTATTATGCTTTCTCTGTTGGAATTGAGTATTTACCCGAAATACCTTCAATAATTTAATCTACAATTTTCTTCATAGCTAACTACTTAATTCCTTCTTTATTCTATTTAATAAATCAATATTATGTGCAAATAAATCGTTTATTTATTATATTGAGGATTAATAAAAGTAAATCAATAGTTTTTATTTAATTTTTAAGATATCAAATTTTATTATCTTTGCTTTCAAAAACTATTATGACTTGATTTAAATTGATTATTTGTTTATCATGCAATCCATATTACAATCATTTTATTTTTAAAAATTCATATAAAATAAAAAAAAAGAAAAACTAAAAAATAGATTTAATTAAAATTGATATTTAGTTATTAAGAATAATAATTTAATTCTGTAAAATATAAATACTATATAAATAAGAATAGTAATACTGAACTAGTACATTTATGAGGATATTTATTACTTTTTCAGTTCTATTTCTCAATTTTTATTTAAAATTTTAATCATTTTTTGAATTTTTTATGGCTTTAAAAAAAATATGAGAAAATATAAATTATTTAGAAATTATAAATTATCACAAGAATTAAAGTAAGTTTGAATTTTGCTATTTTTTTATTTAACTTCCTCTATAAAACAGGTTAAAGTAAATAATTAATTAAATTTTTGAAATAATCTATATTCTTGAGATAAGTTTATTTGTAGAAGAAAAATAGAAAGAAACTCTTCATATGAACTTTTGGTTTTTTAAATCTTATTGCAAAACAATTCTTGAAATAATAGAGGAGAAACCTAACTACAACTTTCCTATTCATCTATATAAACTCTTCATTTTAGTACTGTTTTTGCAATTATTAGGGTACACTCTTACTAATTACGAATCTAAGCACTTTTAAGATGAAAAAATTAGTTCAATTTCGCGAGCTAATGAAGTTGCTTCGCTTACCTTTTTGCTATTTTTAAAAGGAAATGATGCTCTCACAATAGGGTTCTTCGTTTTAATGCAATTTATAATATATAGCTATTTCTTTTATGTGGCTACTTTAGCATTCATTAAGAACAAAAGAAAATACATCTATTTGAAATATCTAAGTGTATTTAAATATGTAAACTAAATTTTAAATACTTACTTTACTCTGTTTAATTATATCTTCTTGATTCCTGTTATGGAAATCAACTTAGGAATGTTATTTTGTGGGAGTAGAAGCTTTCTTACTACATTGAGGACAAATAATTGTACTATCCCTATTTATATTACTATTTTTGCCTCTCTAGGAGCTTTGCTTGGTTTTTTTACCTCGATAGTAACAACTTTCTTTTTTAGAAATTATTAATTTGAAGAGTCTAACAAATTTAAAAGAAAATTTAGTAGCTTAATGGTTTTAATGCAAGTTTTAAAATGCAGTCTTAGCTTAGTTTATTACTTGGATTCTAAAATGACTGATTATTTAAAGTTCGTTATTTCATTGATATTTTCTTTATTCAATTTATTAGATATATATCTGAACATTCCTTATAGAGATTTACAGATATTAAAATTTTATACAATGTGCTCTTCATACTACTTTTCCATAAGTGTGGTCTGCAATATTTGGATATTTGGAAATAATCTCATATAGGGTTATGAACTTTTTTACTATATAATTTTGTTTGGTATTTTATCTAAAAGTACATTTTAAGCTTTAATTCTTTACAGATATAATTCTATTTTGAAGTGCAATTTCTATCTTAACTAATCTCATTTTTATGATAAAAAAATAAATTTGATTGATGTTTATTTGGAATAGCTGATAGCTTTGACTAAAGAATGCTCTCATAGTGAAAGTGCAAAGTGTTAGTTAATAGAATTACTTCAACTTCATTTTTCTAACTGTAATTAAAATCAATGTATTTGCAAATAAACTTAAAAATCCTATTTAATTAAAAAATAAAGAGTTGATGCAAACTACATGAATGATTTGATAAATGGTATTTTCTTATGGGTTTTAGATAAACACCAAATAAAAAAAAATCAAGGTGACATGGAGCATCTAACTTTAAAATATATCTCATTCTTATATCAATTTTATGGGAACTCGCCCAAAGCTTACTTCCAAATAAAATAGTACTTATCAAAAAACTAAAAAAAATCATCAAGTTACTTTAAAATGGTATCTTAAGTAATATGTAAAGCTATTGAGAATACACTTGATCATAGATTAGAGCAATCAAAAGAATCTTCTGACTAAAATTAAAGCTTCATATAAAGAAATTAAGAGTTAACAGTGTATACAGTTATTTAGATTGATTAAGTCTGCTCTAGATTTATTCCTCTTATTATTGATTGTATCCAAAATAAGGTAAATTTCTGGTAAAATATGCTAAAGGGATATAATACAATGGATAATTTTTAAATAAGAAGTTTAGGATTGGCTGAAAATATTTAAAGATTAAGCAAGCAGTTTCACTTTAAACTAAGATAAATAGACAATTTTGTCCAATAATATGACAGCTATCAACTTAAAAAGCTTAAAATGCTTTTTTATTTAATTGTACTCAACGACACAATTAAAGCTTAAAAATTAGATGAAGAAGGAGATGATATTAAAAACAGAGATATGCTAAAAAGTGTAGATATTATTCATTCATCTAATTTCATCAAAGGAAATATTTAAACAATTATAATTAGCTTAAGCTAGAGAATTGGTAAAATTGTCTCTAAAAGGGACCAAAAGTTTATGGAATTTTTCGGTTATGATAAAGAAGAAGCAGGTTCAATAGAAAAAATTAACGATTTAATGCCATTGTATATATCAAGGTTGCATGATTAATTCTTGATGCATTATGTCTAAAGAGGAAGTAGCTAATTAATATAAAACAATTTTTTTTCTTTTATCTAAACAAAGGAGGGTTTTATTTAGCAAGCAAAAATTTATATTGATTACATATTTACTACTGCAGATGATTTTTAAATGGCTGGCAATATTTTGAAAATTAATTCTGCCTATGATTTTATGATATTTAATAGAAAAGGACTAGTTGTTGGTGTTACTTAAAATCTCATTTCAATGCTATTTAGCGAAGTAAAAAAAGTACCTAAAATAAGCTAAATATTACACAAATACTACGCCTTCATATTTTTTAAAGAAATATTGAAAATTTTCAAACAAAAAAGAGAAGAAATAAAAAAAACTTTATCATAAGACGAGATGAATGTACAACTAGAAAAAACTAGCAAGGGTTGGCTTAATCTATCTGAAAGTTTTGAATAAGTAATGACATAATTTACTCATTATATAGATTATTGCCAAAAAAATTCAAAAGACATAAAGAATACTATAGATATTTCCTAAATTGATATTTTAAGTGAATAGACCTTGGATTTTTTTGAATAATTTTAAGCTTTTAAATTATTGAGAAAGAACATAGGATCTAATTAAAATTTAAGCTCTTAAGATTTGAAATCTAGATTTGGATATAGCAAAGATTCTAAATCATTGAAGTTATATTAAACAAGATTATTTTTTAAATACTCTCTTCATTTAAGTTAGTTTGATCTTAATAAATAAGAAAGGGATTCAAATAAAGAGGCATATTTTATTTTAAAATTTCATGATTTAACAATCAATAAAAAGCCTATTGGTAAGAAAATGGAATTCACAAAAAGTATGATTACTTATCTGGGTGCAACGACAAGTATTGGTTTGTTATCATAATTTGGCTCATAGCTGTCAAGGCTTTAAACTTTAAACTAAAATAGCTTTAAAGACTTTTAAAGTATCAAGTTAACTATGAACACAAGCTCTTGTTCTTCTAAATTTAAAGACATACCAATTAGAATGATTAACAGTTTAGTGAGAATGAAATCCTAAAACCAAAACGGATTAAACTAAATCGAAACAGAGAATTAACCTTAAGAAAAATCTAACAATGCTGTTTCTATTTTTTCAAATAAAATGTTAGAAAATATAAAAAGTAAAAGATAACAAATTAAATAGAATATTGATACACCAAGAGGTCAGTAAAAAGATAACTTAAATGAAAATTAAAGAGATAATCATGAAGGAAATATGTCCAGTTAGAATGAGAGTGACCAAGATCAAGATGAAAGTGCTTCAGACGAATATTAAAATGATAATCAATAAATTTAAGAGGTTATATCAAGTGAAGAAGAAGAAGAAGAGGGAGATAAAGAATAGAAGCTTAAAAGTCTTTTAGGTCAAATTAATATGCATGAGGAATTCCATAAATCTTAGGCTAAAAGCCAAAATCATTAAATCCTGAATAAATTTAAAATGACTGAAAATTATATTAAATCTATTGACCCAAACTACCATATTAAAAAAGTTCTATAGCATAATTCCAAGCTAAGTTAATTCAGTATTGCACTTGAAAATGCTATACTTGAGGCATAAATGGAGATGATGTAAGAATAAAGAATCCTTGAAAAAGTTAAATCCATAATTGAAGTTAAAGAATCTTCATCAGACCCTATAGTGCTGAATAAAAACAGCTCTAATGACAGAATAGATACAACTTAGATTTTTGACTAATTTTCTAAATAGAAAATTGAAAGTCGTAGCAGCTTAACAATAGATGATAGTCATAGGCTATTTTAGCAGTAATCAAACTAATCAAAAAAGAACTACTTTGAATATGCTAGCAAAGATTCTATTATTTAAAATGCTTCTGGGGGAAAAGACTCTCCTTCGCTTTTTAAAAAAATATCAGCAGATTTATCCCCAATTCCAAAATAAAAAGAAAATCCCATAATATAAAATAGAAAAAGCCAGTTTACATACTACTAAGAAGCTTCAAATGATACAACACTCTATTCTTTTATCCATAATAACCAATAAGAAAATTCGATAAGCAATGTAGATCATACTTAAAAACCAGTATTTTAGAACCCAAATGAACTGGCCTATACATTTAATGATTACACTTAACAGATTAATACACCATCTTTAGGTAATAAACATTTGTTTATATATTTTTATTTTTGTTAATTATAATTAAATATTTATTTAGGAAGTAATAACGATATAGGAGAAGAATAGAAAGAATAAGTACCTAAAAATATTTTTTTAAAAAATTTTCAGAATATTCCAAGAAAGTAAAAATAAAATGAAGATGAGTAAACAATAGATGAAAGCAGTTAAAAAGATAACTATAATTTTGATTTTAAATTTCAAAAGAGTATTGACTAATAAGAAGATATAGACAGATAGTTAGAAGAAATAAAATCATAAAAAAAGAAACGATAGAAAGATAAAATTATTCTGAAACAATAGATGTCATTAAAATCTACTAGAAAGACTATTTACTCTAACTAAGACAGAAAAAATGTTTAGATAAATCTTTTATTATAAAAAGGATTAAAAAAAGATGAAAACATAAAGGAAATGTTTGAGGGAAGTGTGAAATCAAATTCTTCATCTACAAGAACTAGATATGGAGGAATCTTTTTGAGAGGTAAATATTTAATTTTGCAAATTAATGAATTAACCAATTAATTATTAAATTAGAAATATTGTCCTCTAATAGATTACCAATAACAGCTCAGTATTACAAAGCAATTTTGTTTTTTTTCTTTGTATCCTTTGCAGTTCTAAACATAATCAGTCTAAATGTAATTTCAACAACAATGAATGTAAATAATAATTTTATTTTATTTATACTATTTTTAAATATCTAATTTAAATTTAAATTTTTCCTTACCTTAAATTCTCATTAATTAAGTCCTATCCTCTCCAAATTTTATGCTAGATTGATGGCCTAGAAATTGTTTATTTTTTAAAGGCCTTAATTTAAAGAAGCATTTATTAATGAGGATTGGTGGTGTATTAAATTTATTTTAGTTTATTTTGACAAGAAAATATAATATTTATCGTTTTTATTAAAATAATAACAAGAGTTTTTCTGCATATATTGCAATTATTAGAGTACCAAGACAATTTTAAAGATAATATAGCATTGCCTTAATGGGAAAGTATGCATAATAACAAATAAATCTAGGTTATCTTAAAGATGATTCTAATAACACACTTCTTAATATGTCTTAAACTTATATATCTCGCTCTTTTACAGCTTACAACCAATAATATGTTAATAATTCTTAAATTGTAACTGAAAGTTGGGAAGAAATAAAGAATTCAGATTTTTATTATGAAACATATACCTTTTTTAAAAATCATCAACCATAATAATAGTAGCTTATACTAAATATGATTTACGAAAATGTACTGACATAAATGATGTTTTTACAGTCAAATTAAGCACTTATATAACAAACTGATAGCTTTCTTTTTTTAAAAAAGAATTATTTAATATTCTAAAAAGATATTATTTATTAAGTCTAAGATTTAATTGATAAAGTTTCTAATACAGTCAATAGTTTGTCTAATTCATTTACAATTATTTCTATCATTGCAATAATATCAATTTTAATTGTTGGAATTGTATTTATTCCATTAATTTATAACATAAATATGTATCAAGAATAAATTCTAATGATTATAAGTAAAATAAATAAGGAATAAGCTGAAATTGAAATCAACAAGTTAGCAATAATTAAACAGCTAATAAATACTGATTTATGGGATTGGCTTAAATACAATTATAATGGTATCTTATGGATGAGATATGAATAATTTGATTTGAATGGTGTTCATCGAAACTAAAAAGTAAGTTCAAAAATTGAAATTAATAATAGTAACAAAAGAAGCTAAAATTTACAATCTCTTATATTTGTTTAAAAGCTTAGTGTTTTCAAAAGAATTTGGGTTTAATTAATTCTAATAATAGGATCTGTATTTTATTTTGCCTTTATCATATACTATATTAATTCTTAAAATCCAATACTGAAATTTCCAGTTTTAAAAAATTTTAACACATTTAAAACACACTTATCAATAAATTCGATTAAAATATGTGGTTCAATTTTAGCATTTGATAGATACATGGCATAATATATTAAATATTATGACATATCAGATATTAATGACTTTAAAGATTGCTTGTAAAATAACATAAATTAATTAAGTGATTATATGAATATCAATTAAAATCTCGTTTATGATAATTCTAATCCATTGGATAGCACATAAAGAAAAATAATTAAAGATCTTTATGAAGGAAATGTATGTAATATAGTTACTTAATTTCCTTGCTTACCAAATGATCTAACAAATAACCTTGGTGTAAGTTAAATCTACATTTAACTTACTAAATGTATACTAACCTTTCCATAAATTTTTTATTTTTCTCCATCAGATCCTTTAAATAATGACTAAATTAAAAATTATTTGAATGATGATTGCTATAAGATTTATACGTTTCTAGCATTTAATAGATAAGATGAAGTACCTCATCTGTTTAGTTCAAATGTAAATTAAAGTATTTCCCTAATATCAAATAATATTTAAACATTTCTTACATAATATCTTACAATACTTGGTATATTACTTGGAATTTTCATAGCTATTTCATTAACAATAAACTGGATTTATCTTAGGAAGAGGTTACTATTAATGAACTTATTACTAACTCTAATACCAGAAGAAAAATTGTCAGAAGAAATAATCCTCAATATGCTTAAAAAGTTGAGACATTAATGATAATTAATTTAATAATAATCTATTTAACATTTTCAAATATATATTATTCAAAGAAGTATATTACATATTTTGTATATTTATTTAAAATTTAAGCTTTAAAATTATATCAAAAGAAAATAATCAGTTAAGTTAATCTTCTTGCAATAAAATTAATATTTTAAGCAAAAAAATTTTTGAAAAAGCTAATAAATTAAAATTGATTGTGAAAAATTCAATCTTTTTAATGTAAACTTAATTTATAATTTTATTTAAAATTCTAAATTGATTTTTAAAACCTTTTAATAAAATAATTATTCCATGAAAGTATTTTCAAAACACATTTGGCTGTACCTTAATAAAATAAAATCTTAATTAATGAAGAATTACAGAATTTTATTATTATAAAATAAAATTGAATCTTTGCTAAATAAAATATAATGAATTTAATTGTTACTGATTATTTTTGATATTTGAAAAGGCTGTTTTATTTATAGTTGCAATTTATGTATGTATGTAATATATACCAAAATATCTTTTTAAAATTTGATTCTGAAAATTTTTACAAAACAATTATAAAATTTAAAATAAGTTTAAATAATTGATATATTGATTGATTGATTTTAGAGACAAATAGATCATATTAAAATACATAAATATAAATTAGAATTATCCAAATTTAATAGCAAGCATAATGAGCGCGGGAACAAAATTTATTATACCAATAAAATTTGTCTTGATTATATTTCATCTTTTAGTTGTTACTATAACCATTTACTCTCCTGTATTTCAAAATGTTTTTTTAGTAGAAATTAATCCATTTTAATGTAATAAATAAATAGATTTAAAATATATATGCTGGAATACCTGCGAATACGCCAATAGGAGAAAAATCTTTTTACACTCCTGCATTTAATGAGTAACTTTAGAATAAATTATTCTATAAAAATTATACTATAATCAAAATAAATTAACTAATTATTTAGAACTTAAGCTGTCGGATCCATAAATTTATTGTTTCTAATTATCGAGCTATGTATTTTAGTTTTTGGTCAAAACCTATTTTACGATTTTTTCAATTCACTATGTAACTAACTAACATTTATTGGCTTTTATCTTTCATTATAAAACAATAAAACTATTTAACGAAATAGAAATTTTCATTCATTTTATTGGTGCATTCCTTACAACTTGGTATATAATAGAAGGTTGGAATTATAGATCACTAAAATATATATTCGGAGTCTTTACGTAAAATAAATATTAAATCATTTAAAATAATGAATAAATATAATCTATGATTTTTTAATTTTAATAGAGTTATTCCTATGTGCTTAGAATTCTTCCCATTAGTAATTTATTTGGTTTAAAAATCAAAGTAAATGTGATAGAATAATTTTATGTGCACTAACTTTAATTCAATTCAAATAAGAATCTAAAAAAAATGGACACTTGGCTAATTAAATTAAATTAATTTCACATATTTAGTATTTTATTTTTATATATTTGTTTCTAATTGTATGGCTTTTAAAAAAATAAAAATAAACAAAAATGTCTGTATAAATCTATTTGAATTTTATACAAAACATATAAATATAAATATTTTAATAAAACGAAATAAGATAGCCTTATTATAAGAAATAAATTTTAAAGTATACTCAATCAAATATCAAATATGGAAAGAGAAATGATAAAATTAAAAAAATAAAATTAAAATTATTCATTTCATTTTTTTAATAAATTTAAAGATATATATATTTTTTAAATGTTTTGTTTATAAAGAGGGCTATTAAATATTTTTCCAAATTCCTTGCCATAACAATAATATTTTAAAGAATTTTGAAAAAAAAATATGAGAAATATTATAAAAGTAAAACAACTTTATCAAATATTTTAATAAAATTTCTATCTAAAATTAAACAAAAATATTTGGTTAATAATAATTTTTACTTTTTTAAATAAATTTTTAAATAGTATTTATTTTCATTTTTTAATATAAAAAAGTATATATCAAACTAAATAATATCTCTTAGATTATAAATTATTTCTATATATGTGAATAATTTGATAACTTAATTTGTCATAGACAATATCATTCATTTTAGATAATCATAGAGATCATATACAAGCACCATATGAGCAATGACCATAACAGCACTTTGTAAGACCCTAACATATTTAGCAAAATACATCAGGATCATCGTTTTTAAATTCACCAGACCTAGGACCACCAAAAGATTTTCCAACACATTCTAGTTCGTCTGTGCAAATTCCATCACCACAGCAATAATGAGAACCACATTCTTAACAAATTTCAGGATCATAATAAGGACTTAATTTAGTAAAAACACCATAATGATTATGTTTAGGAGCTTGATTTTTTTGAATAAAATATAGAGCAGCTCCTGTCAAAATAAGGATTAAGGCTATAGTAGTTAATTTACTTGTATTCATTAGCTTATTATGGTTAGATTTTATTTTGTAGTTTGTTTTAAATTATAATAAAATTTTGAAATCTAAATTAGGTTTGGTATTTAAACTGTTAACAACCTAACAAATATTAGACTAAAATTACACATTTAGGGAATCTAAATTGATAAAAGAATAAAAAAATAAATTTAATATTTAAAAATAATAGACAGATGATCAGAAATCCTGGAAATCAAATCAAAAATTTTATTTAATCACACTTAAACCTATTAAAAATATTGAGAAAAATAAAAGCTTAATATGCATTATCAACACAAATACATATAAGACAAAATAAATTTAGTAATTTTAATTTTTAAAATAATAAAAGAATTAGTTTGTAAATCAATAAAGAACAAGAATAAAAGTAAATGTATTAAAAATACAAAAAGAAAATAATCAGTGTTTAAATAAATGCTTATTCTCTCATTTGCCTTTAATTAGTAATTTAAAAGTTAATATTTGTTGTTTAATATTAGATTTAGACCTCAATTTCAGATTTACTGTATTTTATATAGTTTTACCTTGTATTCTAAAATAAGGTATGAGGCCAAGAGATTTTTTTTCAAATATTGTCAAATCTAAAAAATGAAAAACAATATAATATCAAAAAATTTGAAATAAGGTTTATTTTAGAAATTAATTATGGTCTTTCATGCAATGGTAATAATAGAATATGAAAATTAAAAGTAAAACAAACAGTTTGTTTGAATAATGGATTTAATAAATTATTTAAATAGATATTAAAATAATTTTATTTTGTTAAATAATTTTGAAATAACTTGCAAGTTTTATATAATGAATCTAATTTATCTTCATAGATGAATGCCTCTGAAAAGATTAAATTATCAAAACAAATTATTAAAGAAAAGATAATACAAGATTAATCTAAAAATTGTAAACTCCAATAATTTGAAAAAAAAATAATTGAAATTATTAATTTAGAGTTTTACTTTCATTTTTATAATTGAAAAAGCTCTACTTATAAAAATTTATCTTTATCTAATGACAATTTCCGGTAAGATTAAATAAGAAAGTAAAATAATAAAAGAAAATAGATTTTAATCAAAGCTTTGCAAACCTTCTATTATTAAGTTAAAATTTTTGAAATTTAATGAATAGATAGACAAAAAATTAGCAAACGATAGAAATTATATAAAAGATTTATTTTGTAACTGAGATAATGAATTACCTAATATAAATACTTAAATTATTTTTGTGTTATTAAATAAAATATCTTACATAAATATTTAGTAATTACTATCTGATTAATTGGTAAAAAAATTTTGATATTTCAAGCTATATTTTTATATAACAGATATTTTGCTATGAATACAATTTTCTTTTAACAGTGATGAATGTTTTTTAATTTTAAATTTTTGATGAAATAATTTTTTATCAATAATAATTGTAAATTTTAACTTCTAATAATATAATTATATTTTTCATGTTTTTATTTTAATAAGTATTTTCTTAAAAACAACTCATTTAAAGTATGCTTTGTATTGAAAGAGTAAAAAAAATCTAAAATTTAACTTTTTATTGATGTTAATTGGAACATTTTAATGATGATTGTAAATTATAAAATAAAAATTATTTATTTTAATTATTATATTGATTTATAATTTTCATAAGAATAGCGAATATTTTATTTTAAATATATTATAAAAATCCTTAAAAATTTTGAACTTTTTATTTTGGTTCCATCCCTAGTAAATAGTAAAAAACGTTTACATTTAATTAAACGTGATATTGGTTAAATTAAACAAGAAAATTTAGCTAATTATGTATCTTATTCATAAAGCCAATAATAAATAAATTTTTAAATCAAATTTTAATATTTAAGAATATAAAATATAAATAATAAATAATAAATTTAGTAAAATTGTTCATTTATTTGTTTATTTGAAAGTACAAAAATCTATCTATAAATAAATACGTTTTTAAATAAACAAACTATCTTACTTTAACTTAAAAAAATATTTATTATATTAATCATACTTTCTACTTCATGACAGTTTATTCTTCAACAATTTCATTTTTATTTTCAGATTTTAATATGTCTTTTTCTTAGAATATTTCGTTTGGAACATACGCTTCAAAATCTTTGTAATACTCAAAATCTAAAAGAGTCCTTTAATAATTGAAAATTTTAAATTAAAACATATTTAAAATTAAATAATTTAAATATAAAAGTTTAATAAAAATTACTTTCCACTCTACAATTAATTTATAATATTTTTATGATAGTTTATGAGTTTATTAATTTCCTTTGATTTAGCTTTATAGAAAATATCTTTTATTTAGCTTTGCTTTTCATTATATTTTGTTTGGATGTGAATATATATTTAGTCAGACATTATTTTTCCAGATTATATACCCTGCATAGCTGCAATTATATTTTATACTGCTTGACATGTATCAAACTCAAATTATAGCTCCTAGCTGTTAATTTTCAATTTTAGCTATTTATCTTTTTTTAAATAATTAAGATTAAAAAGAATCAAGGTCAAATAAATAAAAAGATAGATATACTTTAAGGAACTTCACCTTAATCGTAGTATAAATAACAGTTGTTAAATGGTATAACACTGTATATAATGTCATATAGTTTTTTTTCTCTAGCCTTGTTTTTTTGTTCAGGTCTTTATTGATAAAAATGAGCCATTTGTTACTTATTAAATTATAAATAATTAATTTACTGAAGTTTATCTTCCATGTATTAAGCAGAATGAATAACTATGTTGTTGATTCCAACAGTAAAATTTGCATTGATAGGTTTATCTTTTTGTTGATATTTCACATTATAAGATAATATAGCCTTAGGAGGTATTATATTGTCACTCTTAATAATAGATAATTTAGTTCTTCTAATTTTTAAAATTTCTAATTTGTTATCATGTTCTTATCTATGCAAATTTGCATCGTCATTATTATAAGTCGTAGTTGCTTTTTTAGGATATTTTTTGCAGAAATGATTAACTAAATTGAGCACTTCCACAATCAAATCTCTTTAAAAGCTGTATTTCGCTTTAAATTTAATTACACTTGTATTTGATTCTCTTTGTTTCACTGTTAGATATAATTCACCATTAACATAACCTGCATTTGCTCCCTTTATTTTTTTATTCAATAATTAATCTTTTTCTTAAATAAAAATGAAATGAATACCTCAATTTCTTTGAAGTTAAACTTAGGATCTATAATTTTGCCTTCTTTCGTCATTTAAACTGTCATCATTACAAAATCTAATGTTAGATTAACCTCATCCTATATTAAATTATTGTTTGTATATTTTACTTCTAGGAAACAATAAAGAATAAATGAATAAATAAAAGATAAAATTGAAAGTAATTATTACCAGTAATTTTGAATCCTTCATTCTATATAAATCAAATGATGCAAATTCATACATTTTGAATTCTGAATATTTTTTTTTAGTTATTTTGAAAGTAGAATAATTAATTCACTAAAAATAGTTTATTTATTTTAATTTAACAAAATACTTTGTTTTTGTTCACATCGCAACAAATCAGTAGGTTGGTATAATAAGCATCTAATTTTAAATAAGTAAAGATACTTTCTTTGCAAAGTTTCCTTATTTTTTACAAATTAAAATGTTAACCCAATAAAAATTATAAGTTCATAAGCATACTTTATATATGATATTCTTAGCATTTTACTCTTTAATCTCTTTATAATAAATATTGTCATTGAAATCAACTATATTTTCTTAGCTGAATACTGTATCTTCTATCACTGGATTAAAAATTAAATTAGGATCAAAAATTTCGCTATCTTCTTTTGTCTTGCGAGTAATATTTTAAAAATACTCTTCATCAGTATTATCTTTTTCAGCATCTTTCATATAAAAAGATTCCCTTTTTTTAAATTTAATCTTTTAACGCGCTCCGAAATTAATTTGAATAGATTATCTATTATTGTCTAAAATTTCATGCTAAAAAAAATAATTTTTACAATTAATCTTATGTGATAGGATTAAAATGGCGGCCAATTGTGTAAAATGATCCAAAAGGCTCAAATTATTTATCTGTAATAAGCTACTAAAATATATTGGTTGAAGGCTCTTCCTTTTAAATTACATCCTTTTTAATATCTTTAATTATCATTTGAGTATGTAAGTATGTATGAATTAAATGCAATAAATAATCAATAAAAAAATATTTAGTTATTTTAATGCTTAATTTTTTACTTAATTAAATTAATTTCTAAAATTGAATTGATTTGCATACAAACAAACAACAAATAAATTATGTTCGGTTAAAAATTTTGATAAATTTGTTTATTTTAGTTGATAAATTAAAGATTTTTACATGAATATTTGAAAGAGATAATTATATAAATAAGCAAAGATAATAATAAGATGATGAGTAAAAAAATATGGCCAATCAAAAATTATAAAAAATTTAACTTGGAAATCAAATTAAGAATTGTTTTTAATATAAATGAATGAGAATGCTATTCATAGTATAAATTCTCACTTGAACTTGTAAATATTTAAAAAATAAATATTTTAAAAATTGTTATTTATTATTAATTTAATCATAATATTCAGTTTTAAGATTTGACTTTTTTATTAACTTTTTCTAAATTTTATGTCTCTTGAACATAAGGATTTGGTCTCTTTTATTAGGAGGATGTTGGACTAGAAGGTGCTTTGTCTTAAATATTAAGATCTTCCATTAATTTTCTCTTTTTGTCTTCTAATTGCTTTTTTATCTTTTTAAAAAAATATTTTTTCAGTCAGAAAATAGATAAATTTATATTTAATTAATTAATTACCATTTCCTTCTTTTTTAAAGATTTTTATATGTTAAACATGTTGAAAATTTATTCTCTCAATTCTTCAAATATTTATTCGTTTTCTTCAGTGGCAATAAAGTCACTAGGGATACACAATTCACTAAGAACGAGAGAAAGCTATTTTATATTGAAAATATTGTTAAAGTCTTTATTATTAAATTTTTATAATAAAAATATATCAAATACCTTTTTGTTCATTTTTTCAGAAATAGGTAGTGGCTCATTCAACCATTTACCTCTCAAGTAACAAATACTTTCAGTTGGATTGCTGATCTCCTTTTTACCTTATTCGTGGATCTATTTATTTTAGTTAATTTTCAAAATATTTGTCAATAAACTTAATATATATTTTACTGTTTAAACGATCTTAACACAGTCTTCTTCATTGTCAATATCCTGGTAATATTTAAAACATAAAAATAAAATATTTTGCTATTCAAATAGAAATGAATTTACATTGTCATCATTCATTTATTCCTTTAACATTTTTTAGAGAGTTTGATGTTCTCTTTCTTCCTTTTTAATCTAAACCTCTATCCTTTTTAAACTATCCAATAAATTCTTCTCTTGTTCTGTTGTTTCTTTTGTTCTCATTAAAAACTTTTCTAATTCGAATTTTCTGACTCTTTCATATTCAGGGTCATATTTATAATTATATAAAGGGTGATTTTGCTGATTTCTAACTTCTAACAGTCTACGAGTGACAGAGTAGAATCTCTGTTTAATATCTTCAATGCTTCTACATCTCTTTTCATCGTATCTGTCAGCAATAATAATAAATCTTAAATCAAATCTTTAGCATAAATCCCAGAGGTATTTTGTTTCCTCATAATCCCAACTTGAGTCTAATTCCTTTTGTTTTGATTTTATTGTAAGCATAAATAATTTGAATTTGCTTGTAATTAAAAAAGCTTTATTATTTAAAGATAATAAATAAATTTCCTAACTATACCTTTAAATATTCGTTGTATTGTTCTTCATTAAAATCAACTAAATCTATTTTAATGTTAAATTTCTCACAAGAAAATAGTTTATCTTTGTCTGTTACAGGCACCCAATGTAAAATAGATGAAATTTATTAAGTTTTTTAAACTATAGGGCTATAAGACCACTAACGAACAGGTTCATCTTTTGATTTATTCTTTATAAATTAATATTTATTAAACAAAAGCTAAAATAATAAAATCTTACATTGCTAGTAGGAATAAGAGGGAACAATCCACCTGTAATATTCCAAACTTCTTTGTCTGCATATTCTAATAATAATTTATTATATTTGTAAGGTTAATATGCAAATTTTATGAATGGCAGCTTTATATTTTGCTTGAAATTATTTATTGTATTTATTTAAAAAATAAGTAAAATAATCACCAATATTTTTCTTTTTATTATCAATCAAGCGCTTCTTTTTCTTCCCTTAATCAGAAAAAAACATGACTAACTTTTAAAGACCTTCAGACATTTCTTTTATCTCTTTCTTATCAATTTATTGATTTCTTAAATTTATATTTTTTAGTAACTCTTTCTAAAATTATAAAGATTTTTAATATAAATATTTTGTTTTGTTAAAAGTTTGATTTGTGCGCTAAAATCTCTATGTTTCTAGCACCCAATCTTTCTTATAATTTTCTTATACATCCTATCATTAATAATTAATATAAGGTGTTAACTTTTATATCAAATCAAAATAAATGTTTAAAGTAGAAATTAAACAATATTAGATAAAAATCATTTTAATCTTTTAAAATAAATAATTTAAATTAATTTATTATTATTATTAAATGTAGCTTAAAGTTGCCCATTATTTAAATCAAGTTTTTTTTTTTCAAGTTACTGTAAAATATATAAAATAGAAATATCAAGTGATTCTTAAAGATTTTTTTAAAGTTAATAAGAAGTAGTTTTAATTTATTTCATTTAAAAGCTAACAAACTTTACGAGAAAAATATTTAATATTTATGCAAATAGTATAACATATTATTCATAATTAACTAATACTTATTTAAAATTAAATACTAATGTTTTAAAATTCATCCTAAAAACCAACTAAAAAGTTATTTAAGCTCTTAAATTTTATGTTTGTTTTCACTTTTATTTTTGATAATTTAAAATATTCATTCATAATTGTCCTAAAATTCATTAAATTTACCTTTTAAATCTATTATCATTTCTATTTATTTATTTTAAATTATTTTTACAATTTTAATATTTATTATTATTTAAATAAGAGTGGCTGACTATCTTAATTACTACAAGATCTCCTAGTTTTAAATTAACTTTAAAACATAATACTAAAATAACTTTTATTGCTAATTATGAGATTTAAAAATAATTTCATTAATTTGTATTAAAAAAAATATAAAATAAATTAAAAAATATTTGTGTGATTTATTTAAAATATTAATTTTTTTCTCAAAAAATAAATAAAAAACTTTTCTTTTCTTTTTCTTAATATTTACATAAAATTCTTTTAATCTTTTAAATATTAGAATATTTTATTTAATTTTATTGAGTTAAAGCATTAAACTCAAATAACTGAAATATTTAAAGCAAAAATCAATTAAAATTTAGATTACACATAATGGAAAAAGATTATTCTACTTAGCAATTAAAAGCTCGTTGATTTAATGAATGATACAAACTAAAACTTTATTCAGATAAAGATATTGTTATTTTTAATAAAATAGCTTTATTTTTGACCAAATTATTTATCAAGTATTTGATTGTTTTAGATTTTTTAGTAATGAATAGAAGTTTAAAGAAAATTTTGCCTATAATAGTATCAGATATTGATGGAGTTTTGATTCAGGAATAAAAAGCAATACTTGGAGTTCCTGAAGCTCTTAAGTAGGTGAGAAAGCCTTTAGGCTAATTACATCCAATTTAATATGCTAACGAATAAAAGTCGCAATTACCATTCGTATTATTGACAAATAATTAATATAACAATTCAACTGAACAACAAAGAATTGGAATTCTCAACTAGCAATTAGGTCTACTGAATCCTTATGAAATGATTACTCCAAATTAATTGGTAATGAATTATACCGCAATTAAGCCTCACTTATAATCATACAAAGATAAGCTTATTCTTGTAGCTGGAATAGATGAGGAGCATATATTTTTGAAAGATTCTGGAATCACTAATTTTATTACTTTAGAAGAATATGCTGCCCTTTTCCCTTTTTTAGTGCCAATTTCTAAAAGAAATTAAGCAGATGTTGAACCAACCCGCTAAAAAATTTAAAGTAAAATTTAAAAAATTTTAGGATTGAGTATTTGAAATATCTTTTATAAAAATATTTATAACTTAGACTATTAAAAGGAGAACTTTGATATGATATTTATTTGCATAATTAAATATTTACTTTAAAAAATAATTTATAAAATGTTTTTATTCTTATTTAACTTATTAAATTTATTAAATAGAAAGATTAAATCTTAGTGAAATTAACATATTAGAGCCTCTATAGATTAATGCTGTATTTATCTTAGGTGAAGTGGTTAAATGGGAAGAATGTGTTTAAATTATTTGTGATTTATTGACTACATCTGATGGAAGAATAGCTTAAGTATTTCCAAATCCTGCCCCTGAAAAAACCATTTAAATATATGTGAGTAGCAATACAATTATTTATAGAGAAAAAGGTTAATTACCTAAAGTAGGCTCTGGAATGCTTTAGTTAGCTATTGATCAATGTTATCAGCTTATGCATCACAAACCAATTCCTAAAAGCACATTTAAAACATTTGGCAAGCCTTAAAGATCAGCTTTTGAAGCAGCTTGTAATATTTATAATTAATTTATAAAATTTAAAATAAAGTCTTCATTTAAAAAATTTATTAAACATTTTTCTAAAGTATAAAAGGCCCTTGAACTTATTGATGAATAAAAGTATTAAGCCGGTTAAATTTACATGATAGGAGATAATTATAACTAAGATATTTTGGGTGCAAAAGAAATGGGATGGAAAACTATATTGGTTAAGTAAAAAAATAAATTAAAATATTAATATTTATTTATTTAATTTTAAATTTATTTTTTTACTTTTAGATAAGGATAGAACAAGCAAGGAGAAAAGCATAATAGTGATTATATAGTTAAAGATTTCTAACAAGCAGTCAAATTAATATTTAAGAAACACTAATTTAATTATGATATCTGAAGCTAATTTTTAAATTCATTTTAACAATAATATATTTTTATTATTTTTTATATTTATACAATCAAAATACCCATTTTAAATAAAAAAATCTTAAATATTGTAAACACTCTTCTCCTTTCTTACTTACTTATTCACGAAAATGTTAAATGAAGTATTCATTAAATTTAGTTAAAAATTATCAAAAGTCAATTGCAATGCTTGTTTCTTTTTTAGAGGAATCATGGTATTAAAAACTTTTAAGAAAAATTAATTGTATTAAAAATTTATTTTAATTTTAAACAAATCAGGTTTCTTATTAACAATAAATAATAAAGAAATTTATATTTTAATTTTAAAAAACTAATTTTATTTAAAATTTTCATTTTAATTTGTAATTTCAACGATTTTATTGATATAATATGCGCAGTAATTTTTAATATAGCGAATTGTACATAAATAATTAAATTACTTAATAAAAGAAATGATTCCAGCATCATATTTTTAAAAAGGTGATCAAATGTTTGCTGATTTTAAATGAAGATATTTTTTGCAGATTAAATTTGTAATAAATAATTGAAATACATATTGTTTATTTTATAATGGATCATATTTTTATACATTTAATAGTGAATTAGTTAATATACAATTAATTATGAGCATTTAAATTCTTCTCGAAATTTTATATTTTTGATTAACTTACTTGGCTTTTTGATAATAATTAATTATTAGTTAATTAAAATATATTGTTAATATATTCAAAAGGGTATGTCAGAAATAGTCTATGATGAAAATTTCATACGAAATTTTCTAAAAAAAACAATTGAAGATATAGCGACTCCATTTATAGAAAGAAGAATCAACTCAGGAGGCCATAAAGAAAACCTTCAAGGTAAATATTATCAAATATTCTAAGAGGCTTTTGGTTTTTTTACATTTTATTTGTAAATTTTAAATAGATGAAATTATAGAGCTTTTATAGATTATAAATGAAAATGAAGAGTAGATTAAGACATTGATATAGTTAGGATGTAATCGAAATTAGTTTATTAATTGTTATTAATTCATCTTTAATAAATATTAGATTATCTTTTAGAAAGAGGATAAGAAAATGTATAGGAAAAGTAAAATGAAATGGAGAATCTATAGTAACAAATTTATGATTGCGAGACATAAATTGAGTTTCATAAGCAAAGTGTTCACGAATATTAAGTAAAAAATAACTACTTTAACTCCTAATAAGAAACTTAAGATTAAAATTATCACTTAAATAACAGAGATTATATCATGAACAACTTGAAAAAAATAATAGACTACAGGATACTATTGCTTAAATTGAAAGCGAGTCTACAAGCAACTAAAAAGCTTATGAGAATATCAAAAAAGAACTTCAAAAACTGAGAACTCAATCTCAAAAAATGGGAGTAACAAGCATAAATTTATATAATATTGATTTTAAATAATTAATAATATATTTTTAAAATAGAAACCTGAAGATTTGGAAAACCTAAAACAAAATCTTTTGCTTCATTAGCAAGAAAACACAGATTTAAAAAGTTAACTTAGCTAATAAAAGACAGATAATAAACAATTAAGAGATGAATTTAGTAATTTAACAAAGACTTACGAAAAGTAAATTAAAAGTATGGAGAAAGTCGAATATGAAAACAAAAGTAATCTATTTATTTTAGTTTGTTTTTTGGCAAAAATATGAAATATTATTTAATGGAAAACAGACTAAAAGAATGTAATTAAAAACTTGGAGTTTAAGGTCAAAGAACAGAAGTCTAAGATTTAATAGCTAGAGGAATTAGTTAGCATTTAGATTAAAGAAATTGAGGAATTAAAGAAATAAAATAATTCCTTAGAGAGAGATATAGCTTCATTAGTAAATAAAGGAACTTAAAATTCCGTTTCATCACCTAAAAGTATTAGTAAGGCTGATTTAATAGCTTAGCAATTATTCACTGAATTAAAATCTTGTGATGAACCAGGCTTACTTGAAAACAGAGGAAGTGGTAATTTAACTCCTTCCTCAGCCTCAACAGCTGTATCAAATGCTAACACATAGGTAAGCAGCCAAAATAACATCAGTATAACAAATAAAGGTAAATTTAATAGCACTTTTGTAATAAATAACTAATTATTTATCCTATGAAAATTTTGAACTAGAAAACGAAAATAAAAAGAATAGCATGTAAATTTTCCTTTAAGCTCATGGTAATTTGCTTTCAGAATTAAAGGATTTCAAGGATGGCGAAATGTTTAATGAAAATGCTAATGTAACCCGAAATTCTCCTAGAGCTAGATCAAATTCTAAAGATAAAATTAAATTGGATGCAAATAATTTGAAAACAACAGGAAAAGTTACTAATAGTAAACCACAACCCATAAGAAGAGATCCTTACGAGGTAAAAAATTTGGACAAATCTATTTAAGCTATAATTTTTATTATGTAAAAAAGGAATTTTTTATGCTAACATCTTAATGTGTTAAGCTCAACTCTCCTTTCTTAGACGATATATTGGCCTTGGATTGCTCTGGCTACTACAAACAAGTTTTAGAACAATATATTCCATATCATAAAGTAATTTTAATTAATTGTACTTAGTTTAAGTTTAATTATTTTAAAAATAAAAGTGGTATAAATGGATAGAAGAGAAGCTTTACTCAATTAGAAAGTAATTATTATAAGAATAATAATAAGATTTATTACAACATTAACTCATTTAATATTGATCTTTAAAATAAATTATAAATAATTAATTTATCTTTATATTTTATTTTGTATTAGCTTCGCCCTAATAATTAATTTAACTAAAATTTTCTAAAATATTTAATATCCTGTTTTTAAATATTTATTGCAAATATTAATATATTAATTTTTATGATTTTAAGCTAAATTTGCTCATTCTATTTTTTAGAAAATTAAAACTCTCACAATTTACTTTACTTTATTTGATTGATATGTAAGAATAAATAAAGTATATATATAAATAATCTTTATTTTAAATAAATAAAAAAACATAAGCAGTTATTTTATAATTTAATAAAATTTCAAATCTAAATATTTATATTTTTTTTTGGTAGATAAATTAAATTTTAATAATCAATTATCATCATCACTTTCTTCATCTAACCCTAATGTTTGCATTAAATTTAAAATAAACTTTTCAGCATTCTCTTTTCTTTTTTCATCAGGTAATTATTACGAGTTATCTTTCAAGCCCTTCATTTGTGAAAGGATTTTTACAAAATCATTGAGAGTGTTTTCTTAGATTTCTTCATCATCATCGTTATCATATTTTATATTTTACTTATTTTGTTTGTTTTTTGAATCTTTTGATTTATTTTCTTCTTGTTCTTTTGTCTTATTATCTTCTTTTTATTCAGGTATTTAGTTACTATTTATATTCTTATTGGTATCATTATTGTTCAACTGCTCATTCTCCTTACTTAATTATTACTCTTCTTACTTTTTGTTATCGATTTCCATTTGCTATTTCTATTCCTAATTAGAATTTACTTCTTTGACTTCCTATTTTTTATCTTTTAACTCCTATTTTTCAATCTCCTCATTTTTATTTACCTTTAAGATATTATTTTATTTTTCTAAATTTATTTCTTCCTCTTCTTCATCATCATTATTATTTCCATATTTTTCATATTTTTCACGAATATCCTTATTCTTTTCATATGTAGGTATATGTATATTAAGTTTAGTGTGCTATTATTCTAGATTTTGCTTTTTTTCCACTTTAAACATTTCCTAAAATATTTTAATTTTATTAAAAACTAAACAAATGATATAAAATTATTTACTGAGTCAGTCCATACATTAGACTCCAAAATATCTATTATTCTGGCTATTCCATCAGTTTCTTCTAGCATAGACTTGGCTCTTGGTTTTACTATTTAATCTTATTCACTTAATTTTTTAAAATCTTCATAAACACTTTCAGTAAAGCTTTCTAGTCCTTCTTCTTGTTTTATCTATTTTGATATAAAAAGGATTGAATACTTAAATTAAATTTATATTAAAAATACAATATAGTCAATATCGATCTCCAACTCATCTGGTTTTTGGTAAACTAAAGTTTGTATTTAAGGTTAGAAAGTTAAATTAAACTTGTCTGCAATTTAACAAAACTTATCATGTCCGTATATCTATAATTTAAAAGAAATTTAATATAAAATTATATCTCAAAGAGTAATTAATATACTTGCTTAGATGCTAAAGCAGTAACATAGAAAAATATTGAGTCAAATTTCAACTTTTTTTTTTAAATATCTTTTATAATTTCATCTTCACCATCTTAAATTGCAATATCGTATTTCAATATGTAAATATTTGTCTTAGCAAGATAATATTTGGTATGTAATTCCCTATTTTAAAGTATTCTCATGAAATACATATTAAAAAAAGGAATATTATCATTTACATTTTATTTTCAAGCTTTATAAGGCATTTTTCTTCAGGAGTCCAATCAGATTGCAACTTTGTTTTTATTTCTTCTTTTAATTCTATGTTTTTACCTTCGTAATATGGAATGATGCCTGTTATTTATTATTAAATGAGCAAAGATTTCTTTTTAAATTTAATTGAATTTAAGAATACATTTGATTAATCGAAGAGCATCTACATAATCATTAACTAATATTAAAGTATTAGATTGCTATAGTTGTGATAATACTTGCATTTTTATTTGTTGACTTGCTTTGAAAACAATTTTTATATTTTATCTTTTTTTTTACAATTAATTAAAATTTCTACAAAATTAAAAATTAAGATTTATGATAAAATACTTCTCAGTTAAATTCAAATTAAATAGATAAATAAATAGATATCTTTAATTCTAAGAGTCTATTTATTTAAATTAAGTAACAATAATTGATATAGAATTTATTATTTTTGATAAATTAAAATATTATAAATAGATTTTCTTAGTTGATATATAAATATTCCATAAATTAATCCATATTTTTTTAATTTTTATAAATAGATTTAAGTTTTATAAAAGTTTTAAAATAAATTTCTTATATTTTTAAGATTCAAATAAACTTTAATGCCAATAATAATTTGTATAAAAATGTAGTGAAAGATAACAAACAAAGTTTATTTATTTCTTAATAAATTAATTTAGTCTGATCAGGCCTTAATAGCATCAAGATATCTTCTTTCAACTTCCTACCAATTAACAACCTTCCATATTTCGGTTAAGTATTTAGGTCTTAAGTTTTGATAGTCTAAGTAGTAAGCGTGTTCCCAAACATCGATTGCTGTTTTAATAAATAATGAACGATAAATATTTGTTATGAGAATTTGAAATGTCATTAAATTTTTTCTATTTAATTCATATAATGCTTTTTATAAGTTTAATCCAAATAATTACTCAAAAGAGGGATGACGCTATTCCATTCAGGCATATCTTAATTACCCAATTCGAACATCTTTAAACTTTTGCTGACAGTGTCATAACCGAGCCAACCCCAACCGGATCCCTTTTAAAGTAAATAAAAATATGTCATTTTATAAAAGAAATCTAAATAGAAATTGAAGATAATATGATTGTTGTAAATCCCAAGATAAAAATTTAACTTACTTGGATGGCAGCAGTACGACCGTTGAAGATTTAAATGAAGTTTTCATATGAACCCCATTTTTCTTATATGGCCTTGGTGAGGGGAGAGTTTTAATCAGGGAAGACACCACCACCTCTGGATACGGGAGCAAGGTTATCCCAGTAAATGGCGTGGTTAATATGACCACCCAAGTTAAATCTTAAACCAGATTGTAATTAAGCAATCTTATGTACGTCATTCTTCTTTTAAGCATCAGAAATTTATTCGTAGATGGCATTCAAGTTGTTAACGTAAGCTTAGTGATGCTTTCCATGGTGGAACTTCAAAAGGTTAGCAGTCAAAACAGGTTCTAATTCGTTATATTCAAACTTTAACTAAGGTAAAGTGGCAGGAATGGTGCTCTTGTATGAGAATAATCTCTTTACAACTTTGTTCAACATTTTATTATGCTAAATATTGCTATGAAATTTAGAAATTAAAACGAAAAGGATTTTTTTTATTGTTCTTCTTAATTAAATTATTATAATTTGATAAAATAAAATATCCTTTTTAACAACAGACAAGTTCTTTTTTTTTTCTTTAAGCATTCTAATCTGATACCACTTTTCTTTGGAAAATTCCCAAAATTTTAATAATTTATGAGTATCCTTGAGTAAAGAATTTCAAACCACTTTATGAATAATTCGTCACTAGATGTCGAATTAGAAATTAAAAATTGCTTGATATGTTTGATAAATTTGCTTTAATTTAATAGCAGATTTTATTTTTAAGTATTTTCAAAATAAAAAATGGCAATGAAGTGAGATATAAAATATATACAGGATTGGAGTTCAAAATTTTCTGATTTAATTTAATTTTTAGACACAAACATAACAATAATTTAAAATCATTTTGGGTAACATAGTACAGTATCCGTGATATAATCGACTAATACAGGTATAAATATATGAACTCCATCCAAGTGCAGATAATTAACCTAATTTTAAAAAAATTTAAACACTAAAATTAAGTAATTATCATTACCTCCTCAATTATATCATCGATTCGCCTATTTGTCATAAATATTTTTCTTTATTTAACCATAATACTATTTTTTTTATTTCAGTAAACATTTAAATTAATTTTTATAAAATAAATTTTATCTTAATCTTTGATCACTAATTAATTATTTATTTTTCTATCTTACATTTTCATTAAAAAATTCTGTGAACAAAAGCTAAATACACTTATTTGTATCCACTCCAAAGAATGCTTACTTTTCTTTTAAATATTTTACAAAATTCTCATAAGTTAGATTGTTCATTTTTCTTTTGTCAATATTTAAATAATAAAATTAATAAAACTATTTAGACAAACAAAATTAATTGGTTCTAAAATTGAATTAAAATTAAAATTTCTTAAATTTAAAAAAAATTATTTTTTACAATTAAATTTTTTATAAAATTAAAAATAAAGATTTATGATAAAATACCTATCAGTGAAATTCAAATTAAATAGAAAAATAAATAGATATCCTTAATTATAAGAGTGTATTTATTTAAATTAAGTAATTAATAAGATTTGATAGGTAATCAAAATATATATTTTTTTGATAAATTAAAATATATTAAATTGAAATTCATTATTGAAAAATAAATATATCTTATATCGATCTTTTTTATATTTTAATAAAAAGATTTACTTCAAGTTTATAAAAATTATAAAATAAATTTCTTATATCTTTATGATTCAAATAAATTTTAATACCAATAATAATTTGTAAAAAATGCAATTAAAAATAACAATCTATTTATTTATTTCTTAATAAATTAATTTAGTCTGTCTGATCAGGCTTTAATAGATTCAAGGTATCTTCTTTCAACTTCCTACCAATTAACAATCTTCCAGATTTCGGTTAAGTATTTAGCTCTTAAGTTTTGATAGTCTAAGTAGTAAGCGTGTTCCCAAACATCGATGGCTGTATTAATAAATAATGAATGATAAATATTTTATGAGAATTTAAAGTTTTATTAAATTTATTTTTTCTATATAATTAATAGATTGCTTTATTTAAATTTAGTCCAAATAATTACTCAAAAGAGGGATGACGCTATTCCATTCAGGCATATCTTAATTACCTAATTCGAACATCTTTAAACTTTTGTTGACAGTATCATAACCGAGCCAACCCCAACCAGATCCCTTTTAAAGTAAATAAAAAAAATATGTCATTTTACAAAGAAATCTAAATAGAAATTGAAAGTAATATGATTGTTATAAATTCATAAGATAAAAATTTAGCTTACTTGGATAGCAGCAGTACGACCGTTGAAGATTTAAATGAAGTTTTCATATGAGCCCCATTTTTCTTATATGGCCTTGGTGAGGGGAGAGTTTTAATCAGGGAGGACACCACCACCTCTGGATACAGGAGCAAGATTATCCCAGTAAATAGCGTGGTTAATATGACCACCCAAGTTAAATCTTAAACCAGATTGTAATTAAGCAATCTTGTGTACATCATTCTTCTTTTAAGCTTCAGCAATTTATTCGTAAATGGTATTCAAATTGTTAACGTAAGCTTGGTGATGCTTGCCATGGTGGATCTACAAAAGGTTAGCTGTCAAGACAGGTTCTAATTCGTTATATCCATACTATAACTAAGGTAAAGTGGCAGGAATGGTGCTCTAGTATTTGTTCTACATGAGATTAAAACGAAAACGATTTTTTTTATTTTTGGTAAATTAAATTATTAATATTTGACAAAATAAAAATCCTTTTTAACAAAAAATAAATAGAAAAGTTCTTTTTTTCTTCTTTAAACATTCTAATCTGATATTAATTGTCTATCTTTGGAAAATTCCAAAATTTTAATAATTTATGAGTATCTTTGAGTAAAAAATTTCAAACCACTTTATGAATAATTCGTCACTAGATTTAGAATTAGAAATTAAAAATTGCTTAATATGTTTGTTTGATAAATTTGCTTTGCAATGTTTATTTTTTTTAAGTATTTTCAAAATAAAAAATAGCAGTGTAATGAGATATAAAAATAAATAGGAATGGAATTCAAAATTTTTTGTTTTAATTTAATATTTAGACGCAAACAAAACAATAATTTAAAATCATTTTGGGTAGCATTCTACAGTATCTGTTATATAATCGACTAATACAGGTATAGATATATTAACTCCATCCGAGTGCAGATAATTAACCTAATTTAAAAAACATTTAAAAATTAAAATTAAGTTATTAAAAAATAAATGATTACCTCTTCAATTATATCGTCAATTTCTGTATTTGTTGTAAATATTTTACTTTATTTAATAATTTTCCTATTTTTTTATTACAGTAGACATTTTAAATTAATTTTTATAAAATAAATTTTACCTTAATCTTTTTTCACTAATTAACTATTTATTTTCCTATCTTACATTTTCATTAAAAACTTCTGTGAACAAAAGCTAAATAAACTCATTTGCATCCACTCCAAAGAATGCTTACTTTTCTTTTAAATATTTTACAAAATTCTCATATGTCACAGTAGTTCCTTTTTCTTTTGACTATTTTTAAGTCAAATAAATAATAAAATTAATTAAACTTTTTAGACAAACAAAATAAATTGAATTAAAATTTTAATTCGATTTTAATCTTAAATGTATTAATTTTAAAAAAACCAACAAGAATTAAAAAATTAAATTGAAATATCAGGTTTATAAAGAATAAAAACATAACTAAAGTGTTATTTTTTATTTTTTAAGAAATTTAAATAAGCAAATATTAATGTGAGAATATCTTCTTATAGTATTTGTTTGTTAAAACTTTTTAAGAAAATTCAAAAACCATATTTTAGCCTTAGATTTTATTAAAATCAAATTATTTATTTAAAAAAGTTTCTTTTACCACACAACGTCTAACTAGTATCTTGAAAGCCGTGTAATTTAGAGTAGAACCTAGTTACTTAACAACGCTTACGAATTTATCAAGAGTCACTTCTAATTCTTTATGTTATTATGATTCTTCATCTGCTTCCTCTTAGTGTTCTTATTCATTCTATTACTTTTTCTAAATTTTAATGATTATTTATTTATTTTTAGCTAATTGAAAAAATCATTTTTAAAATTTGTTTACTTCCAACTATTAGTGGAATTAAAAGGAATCTCTTATGTCATCATACTACTTTTTCTCTATGTAAGCTTCTCTAAATGAGACGTTAGAGCGACCCTAGTTACGAGCTTCGTCGTTTAGGTATTAGGAGAACTTTTCAATTTATCTGGCTTTGAATCTTCTTTAATCGAAGACTACTTTCTGGATAATTTATTTTTTTTTAAGCATTTATATCTATTATATTATTGAAAGAGTGATATTAAATTTAAAATATTTATATTTAATCTGAGTTACATTTGTAACAATAGTGACATAGTAGAAGAGTGCAGGAATTAGAATAAAAACACTAATAAAACTAAAGCCTACTGATAAACTTAAAAGTAAATAATAAAGATATATCTTAGGGGTATAGTATTCGTAAAGCATTTCAATCATCCACACTGATTATATAAAGAGAGGTATGTGAATAAACTAATAACTAATCTCAGGCTTGTTAAACCAAAAAAGTTTTTCATGTTAATTATACTAGCTCTCTAAATCATAGGGTAAAAGCAAGTATTAAGGCTGCCTCAATCTATCTATATTAGCCATAGGATCTCTATTTTTTTCGAATTCTGTAAATTTCACTTCAACAGGACTATCTACAATGTTGACTAGCATTCTATAATTTATCATAACTTTTCTGAGGAATACGATGAGGAATAACATGATGATTAAAGGAATACTTGACATTATGTAAAAGCTATAATCATTCTCTTCATCTAACCAACTTAAAAAGAGCCTTAATCCAATCAAGAAAATTAAAATTATCATACTATAACCATTTATTTTGAATACCTATTTTCCCAACTCTCCTAAACATCTTTAAATTATTTAATAAGAATTAAATATATAATCAGTAATGAAACAAACATATAACAAACAAATATACCTGATCAAATAATTAGAAAAATCAAAATCTTCTCTGAGAAAATTTTCTGTACATGTAGGCTAGTAAGAGGGTGCTATGAATTCTTGCCTCATTAAAAAGTATTCTAAGATGTCCCTCTTGACTTTAAGTTCAGTATATTGCTAGGATGTGTAAACTACCTACTCAATTCTGTTTTCAGGGTAGTAACGGCTATGGTTAATTAACATATGCAAATTCTCATAATCGTTTTTAATTACTTTTCTGTTTGGAATTTATTTTTCATATTCACGCCAAATCTTAGACTATGTCTAGCTGACAAGAATATTGTACACTCCTATGAAAAGCCAAATGATAGAAAAAATAGCAATAGCCATACATAATGAATCTAAATATAAATAACTATCGAGGAAACTAAACCCATCATAGTAATTGATTATAAGGATAAGAGAGGATATAAACAATATTATAGAGATATCCCTTGATTAATTAATAAATAATATGAAAATCAAATAAATTTTCTTGATTGATTAAATATATTGTTTTAATCAAAAATGAAAAAGACAGCATAAAAATTGTATTGCTGAATAAAATATTTATTTTTATATTTTACCCGAGAATATTGTTGATTAATCTGAATAATTTCATCTTCAATGTAGTTTTTATCTGATTTTTGATTGAAAGAGCTAAAAAGTAAACAATTAAAAATATTAGGAAGAATAAAAATCCATAGATTTAAATGGTTTATTCCTTTTTTTTTATCTAAGAAAACGATCTCTGAATGAATTGTATAAATTTAGGTTATCGCTTTAAATTTTCATATTGTTTTTCTAAATTAGTCATTGTAAACTGCCTTGAAATTTGGTAATCTCTTTCTATTATTTTTTGCTGAGCTTCTAAGATACTCTCTCCTTTTGCATATTCAAGGTAAAGACAAAGCAAGAAAGAAACTGTAAGAATATATTATTTAATATTCATCTTGGTTAAAAACTACTTAGGCTTTATGTTATGTATATAATTTAACGTTTTCTTACTGAACGCTAAGTAAAGTATTTGCTTTTTTTTGCAAATTCAGTAGAATAATGAATGTAATTAATGTATGCAATTAACTTTTGTGTATCAGTCAATAAGAATGAATATTTGTTTCTTTACAAATTAATTAATTAATTTTTTGATATTAATTCAATAAACAACTTGCTTATTTGCTGATTCATTGATAAATTAATACAGTTTTTCAAAAAAAATTTACTAAATCTAAGTTTACGAAACGACTATCTTTAAGAGTTAAATATTCATAAAGACGAATACTGCGCGAAAAATTAATTAAAGGACTCTAATTTATTTTCAAAAGGTACAAAAGCATAAACATATATTATGATTTTAAGAATAGAGTTATAGTTTCTAAAATAATTATTATAGGAAAAAATATTTTATGAGTGAATTATCTTCAAGGCTGCTCTGTGTAGCTTACGGATTAAGCATTGTTTCAGTTACTTACATATACAAATACTTTGCAAAAAGCAGTAATTAAATTACATGAATTTGGCTTATTCTTAATATAATTCAATATAAAATGTTAAATGAACACAAATTTAAAATTAATAGTTGTAATTAAGTAGAAGGCTAAGCTAGAAGATGGAAGAACAAGTGTTGACGAAATGACAATGGAAGAAGAGCTTTTTTATTATAAAAAAAAATAGCACTTAAAAGATTTAACTAAGAGTTTGATTGCTATTGCTATAACTTTCATACTAACAATTATTACTTTTGTCTTTTATTGTAAGAATTCTATTTTAGATTGCTTAAGAAAAAATGGATTCAGTAATATGTTAATTGATGAAATATGCAATTTATTAATGACTATCTTGCTTAATTCAGTTCTATTCGCAGTAGTCATTTACAGAAACTATGTAAATACAAAAAAAATTAATAAAAATCTTATATTTTATTAAACCTGTAATCAAATTTAAATTCAAAAAGAGAAAGGGGCAATTCAATATGCTTTTTAATATATTCAAAAGCATGTCTTTGATAAAAAAGGATATTATAGTAAAATATTTAATTAATCAATCATTTAGATCCTTTCATTATGTACAAAAATTTAATAAAGGCTCCTTTTGTAGAAGAATGGGTTTTCAAAGTTCTGTTTTCAATTATTCTTGGGAAATCAAATCATTTTAATATTTAATGGTTCTCTCCTTTAGTTTTCTCACTGTGTAAATTTATTCATACAAACTTTATTTTGGAAAGCGAATAATTTATTTGATTATTTATTTATAGGTCATTTCTAGCTTGTATTCTTTTTTAAAAACAAATATGGCTTGGTTGGAGCACTTATCAGAGCTCGTAAATTTATCTTTATACTTTTAGTTTGTATTTAAAATATCTAAATTAAAAGTTGGCTTAAGTGTTATGACATTCATCTTTGGCATTTATTCTAGTTTTATTTTTATAAAAACAAATTCTTTCTTATGTAGCTTCTTATTACATAGCTTTTGTAACTTTTTAGGACCTCCTAAATTTAGCTCAAAAATAGGTAAAAAATAATTCATTTATTTATTTAAAGAAAACTGTTTAATTTCAAAGTTTCAAATGATTTTATTGATTTAATCATTGTTTCAAATATTAAATTTATTGAAGTATTAATATAAATATTACAAATTATTTTATTAAAAGAAATAGCTTTGAATGTGGTGTGTGTTATCTCTTTCTTTATTTTGATGAATTAAGTTCCATTTATATTAGAATGAGAATTTAAAAAAATATATTTCTTGAGTTTACTATTTTATTATTTTTAATTAATTTATTTTAATAAAATAAAAATTTCAAGCATATAAAAAAATATCTATAAAGATACATTTATTAAAACAAATTATTTATAAGTAAATATATTTAAAAGGGATTATTATTTGTTAGTTAGTTATTTATGGAATTATTTTTTATTTATTATTTGTATTCATCAAAAATATTTCTAATTTAAGGATATGGATTTTGATTTTATGGTTAGCAGTGGTAATAACAATTTCAAAAATAATTTCTACCAAAGTCTTAGTATTAAGCATATTCTAAGTTGTTTTATAATTCTTAATAAGGTATTAGATGATGTATTTGTTAAGGTTAATATGAATATTGCTATTGAATTTAAGGTACTTAAGGAATTCTTTAATTCATTTAATTGTAATTAAAATTAAATTTAGGATTGCTTTGATTGTATTCGTTATCAATAATTATCATTTTTTAATTTATTTACTGAAAAGAATTTCTACCAAACTAGTCTTAATATTAAGCATATTCTATGTTGTTTTATTGGTTTTAATAAGGTATTGAGTGATACATTGGTTAAGGTTAATATAAAGGTTATTGCTGAATTTAAGGTAATTAATTCATCCTTTTAATATTAATACCAAATTTAGGATAGTTTTGATTGCTTTCATCATCAATAATTACCATTTTTTATTTTATGTACTTACAAGAATTCAAATGTTATTAGTGGAGCTTCTACTCATAAGTACTCCAGCCACAATCAGAGCTAAGACATTTAAATAGCTTAGTATTCTCCAGTAAATCTTTGAGCATATAGTTTCTGGATATCTATTTTTCTTAGTTTTCATTTAAAGGGATTACTATGAGACAGCAAGGACATCTTTCCTATTAAACAAGGCAAACCTTACAAAATGAGTGACTATTTTAAGTAGAAAGAAATATAAATAATTTGAAAATGAAGTAAAGTAATCGAATTTACCCACAAGGAGGCTGATGGGGATCATTTATTAATTAAAGGCAATAAGGGCAGGTTAAAATCTCATCAAATTAATAAATTTATATTTAGCTTCTTTACTAATTTGAATTATTATTTTGTTGTTTTTCTGCAAACATTTTGTTCATTTTACTTTTTTTTTTTTGGTATCTAATTTATAATTTTTGATTACGGATTTGTTGTTTTTTTATATGTAATTATTTATCACTATTAAAAGAATATTTTTCTTTCTCTAATTAATCTTAAAATAGAGAAGAGTTTTTAAAAAAGAGAAAAGTATGTATACTTTTAATAAAATACTTTTCAAATTAATTAGTTTATTTGAGATAATAAAAAGTATTTAATTTTTTTAAAAGAATAAAAAGAATAATGGTGATGATAATAAGAGCAAAATATTTTTAGGTTAATTTTTAAAATTAAGTCATCAAAATATTATTTACTGCAAATACTCAAAAAACTTTATGTTCCGAATTGCAATGATTTATAAAAAATGTATATTATATTCTATTATTTTTACTCATAGCCACACTATCATTTAGGTTTAAAGTTTCAGAAATTACAGTAATGATCAAAATTATATTAAAAAAATAATTGATCAACTAAAATTATTATCAAAATTAATTTTAAAATAAATAATTGTAAATCTTAATCACAATATTTATTTATTCAATGGCTATTTTTGATTTAAATAAAAAATATTTTATAAACAATATTGCCTTTTATTAATTAATTTATTTACTTAAATAAAAAAGATATTAAAAAATAAAAAGCTGAAAAAATAATTCATGGATTAAAAAGCAGGTTTTATTTAGAATTTAGTAAGTATTTTCAATTTTTGGGCAATTCTAAAAACTAAAAAATAATACATAAAAATCAATTTTAAAATAATTGAATTGAATCTACGCGTTTGAACTTTTTTAACAGTTTAATTAAAAAATTATATTTGCTGGTTGAATAGAATTGAATATATTTCTAAGTTAAAAAAAACAAAAGAATAATAAGTAAAGAATAGCTAATTTGTTTTAAGCGAATTTGAAAAATGGATAAAGATAAAACTCATTATTAATAGCAAATGGAAGATAAATTTTTTGATCCATTTGGTTGTTTAACAATAACTGAACTAAATAACAAACTTAGTATATTTTTAATAATCTTCTAATTTATAGATTTTATAATAATCAACTTTTTAGTTTATACAAAAAATGTTAGTGTTTTCTGTTCGAAACATTATTTTTATTTGAATTATATAGATATTTGAGCATATTTTGAAGTAATTTTAACTAAAAAGATTAAGGGAACGCTTTTATAATGAAAGATAGATAAAGTATTGATTTAGAAGGGGAAAATAAAAATATGCAGGAATTTTATTATGATCATGTAATTTCAAAAACCAAAGATGATCCATCAATCTTCGACCCAAAGAAGTTTAAGATAGATACAATAGAAAGTGTTTTTAGTGAAAAAAATGTAGTTTAGTTATAAAAGTTATTAGAAAGTGGAGAAGAAGATAATTTATTATATTATACTAAGGTGAATAAGTCAATAGAAGTACGTGCAGATGTAAATAAATATTAGCTTAATTATAATATTTTGACACCTTTATTAAAATCTTATATAAAATTAATAGGAAACTTTACTTAATAATTATCTCTATTTGTATAAAATTAGAAGTTTATTATGTCAGCCCTGCAGTCTTTAGTAGTGCTCAACTAAAATGAGTAATTTGGATATTCATATCTTAAACTAATAAATAATAATAAATTTCTTTCAAATTAACATCTTAGAATCTGAAGTTCATAAATTTGGTGCTTTTGAAGTATTTGAAATGAAGGATAGTAAAAACAAAGTAACTATAAATAAATAAATTATTTTCTATAAATTTTTATATAAGAATATCAATTTTCATAAAAATAGATTTTAATAAAGTTTATTTAATTAAATAAATACAGTAAAATGAGTGATAATTAGTATTAGATGAGCAAGATAAAATTTTAAAAATATTTTTTAATTTGAAAATAATTTAATTCAATATTCAAATATAAAATAAAAATTGAATTAAATCACTTATTATTTATTATATAAAAATTATAGATTGATCAGATATTTTTCTTTGATTTCCACGTATAAAAAATATATTTCATATAAATGAACTAAACTGTGGTGAAGCACTTTAAAGATATAAAGGTATTTCAAATCAAATTTTTAATTGTATAAGTTTGTTTTATTAATAAAAGGGAGTTAATTCTTTTTTTAACGATGATGAAATTAATTTAATTATTTAATCAGATGTTAAAAGCACATAACATGATAATAAAAAATATAAGTTAAAATATAAATTTTAAAGAGATTTGCTTGTGAACTATTTTAAGCTAGTTATTGAGAATACAAAATTAGAAAGCAATTTTTTATAGATAAAAGAATCATTATTAAATTTAATACAAGAGGATATAATTGTGCCTCCAAAAGCAATTTTATCCTACCAACTAAAGATTAAAGTAAAAGGAGAATATCATAATGTAGACTTCACAATTGGTATAAATAATATTGTAGTCCATGAATGGCTTAAAGGAGGTGACTAATAAAAAACAATAAATTTTAAAATTCATTTTTTGATTCCTTTCAATCACCCATACTTTTATATAGACAGCAACTGTGAACCAAATTGTAATTAATTTTTAAATTTTACATCTTGCATTAATAAAAATTATTTATTTAATAGAATTAATATGCAAACACGGGAGTGAAACTATTTCTTTTTCATTTAATAGTGAACTAGAAGCTTAAAACGTAAAAGAAACACTTCAAGCTGTTTATCTTAAAAAAATATAGAATGACTAAATTTACATTCACATCCCATACATAAAAAAGTTCAATAAAGAGAAGGTTTCAAACTTGTAAAGCTACTTGAAAGACAAGAGTAAATAAATAACAGAAAAAATTGAACATCACAAGTATGTTCTCTCTCTTCTTCTTAAAGCTAGGTAAATAGTCAATCAATCAATTAATCAAAATATCAATTTCTTTTTCATTGAAGCTATTATAAATTAATATATTTATAATATAATTTATAGATATCTTTTAGACAAATAAGGAGAAAAATTGGATTATGAATTCGAAGAGGATAAAGCTTTCTACAACACTCCTGAAACTAAAAAATCTTACCAAAACTATGAAGACGATGATGAAGATATCTATGAGCCAGAGTAGTGACTTAATTTAATTTTATCTGTATAAACTTTATTAAACACTAAAATATTTAATATGATTTCTTAGTAATTGAAGAGTTTTATTAACTTCAGGGCTGTTTCATTATCAGTATTAAATATCTTTTAACATACTTTACCAAATGTTAAAGGTTTTCTTGTGCAAAAAATATTAATTATGCAATAAAATATATATAATTAAAAATTAATTATGACCATTCATATTTTTTAAAATTCTCTGAAATATGAACAAGATAATTTTTCAAAAAAGCAAAAAACTAATTAATAACTTATTATTTTTTATTTTTGAAAAATAAAAACACAAAGCAATAATTTTGTATTATTATGATACAAAGAGGAGAGAGATACAAATTTATTTTAACTTATTAATAAGCAACGTTTAAATTTTACTTTTTAAAACAATTTATTTTTAAAAAAATATTAATTTGCAGAGAATTTATAAATTAAAAAAAATAATTTTTTAAGATAAATTATTAGTTTTTTCTGGTTTTTAATTAAATAATAAGTAAAAAATCTATTTAAAATATTTATTTTTATTGGAAAAAAGATTTAGCTCTTTTAAAAATATTCTAAACTAAAATTTAATTTATAAATATTTACAATTAAAAACAATTTAAATTTTAATCAGCTTTTTATGAAAAATTTTTTCATTAATCCTTAAATTTATAAGTAATTGTAGGATTTTATTTGTAATGGAAAAATTATTTCAGTGAACTAAAGTTGAATTAGAAGAATAGCTAAATGTTAAAATAAATTGAATATTAATATTTTGAATAATAACAAATAGAATATATAAATATTCAAAAGTATTTTGATTAATTAGTTAATTAATTATTAAAGCATATGATAATTGAAATGAAAATTTAATATGATCAAATTGGATAGTAATAAATATGAATATAGTGAGTGTATAAATCGTAAGTTTCTTTTATTATGTCTTGAAGGATTGCTCCTTAGTTTAAGAAAATAACTCTCATTTCTTAAATACATGGCATTTTTAAAAATAGCTCTTCTTCTGTTTAAGAAGAATTCTCTTTATTTTTTTCTGATTGCTAATTCTATTGTCTTACATTTCTATTATATTATTCGAGGATCAAATAACTAAAATAAAAAAAATTAAATATTTTACTATTGATTTGCATTAGGTTGCTCTTAATTTTACTTTTCTCCTTCTTCTTCTAAGTTTTATTGCGATTTAGAATTTAATCCGTATTCATCCTTCTTATATGTTAGTTATATACAATTTTTTTCATTATTTTCTGACACACTATAACCGTTATTTTTAAGCCAGCGATTTTTTAATAAAATTTTAAAGAGGTTTGAGAAAAACTTTTGTCCACAATATTTGAGTGTTATTCTTTATTCATGTTGGTAGTAAATTTCTACATTTTCTCCTAAATCTCCTCCACAATGTATTTCAACTTGCAAGGGGTAGATAATAGTAGGAGTCAATTTAATTAATTATCCGCATTCTTGATCATGTTTGCTTTTATGATTTTTCATGCATGTTTTATCACAGTAGAATGCTGAAAAGCATCTGTTACAATGGAAATTTACATAAATGTACATATGGCAAGAAGCACATGGCACTACGATGTTTGGACATTACTCTTTAGATAGATTTATATTTGTTATACTTTAAAAAACTTCAACCAAAATTTCGCTCTTAAAATTAAGTAATTTAATGAACTCGTGTAAACAATTTTATAATTCTATGTAATATTAGTACTCTCCTTTATATAAACCCATTTAATATCTTTTTATTGCTCCATTAATTACAGCTTCGCAGAATTCTTACATAGAAGGTGGGCTGGAATAACTAGGTCTGTATGTAAATTCACCATATTAATCATTTTTAAATGAAGCTCCTTGCTTTTTGAGTTAAAGAGCTGGATTTGTAAAATCAGTCTTCTTGAAAAGAACCCAATCTTCCCATAAATCTTTCTTTTATGATAACTAATTAACTTTCATTTATATTTGATAATTCTGTGTGCCTATAAAACGCTAATTTCAATAATTATGTAATAAAACTATACTATGCTTTTATTTAAATATTGCTATTTTCAATATCTTAAAGGTTTATTAAAAATTTTTAATAATTCAATCAATTAATTTGTTAACAATTCAGCTAAAAAGTTATTTTTTTTCTTCTTGGCTAATAAAGAATGTAGTAAATATAATATGAATTTAGATTTTATAAAAATTTAATTTAAATATTACATATAAGCATATATATCTTTTGTTGGATAATAGCTATTATCCACAACCAAGTAATATCAGTTTAGATTTTGTTATTTTGAAGAATTCATCAAAAAATGAATGATAATAAAATCAAATATTAATTTTTATATAATTAATTTGTTATTTAATATTTAAGTAGTTTATAATTAAAGTGAAAAAAAATTTTCTTTATTTGAGAAAAAATGTCTGACTTAAATGACGAAAAATCACCTTTTTTTGATAAGCGTGATGAAAAATTCATCAAGTTAATATCGAACACTTATTTCTTTGAAATGTTCAATAAAAAAAAAATGAAATGCGATTAGATTATACCCCATTCAATTTTGTTTTCTAAAGGTAAAGAGCTACTTAATCTTAACATTTTTTTAAAAAAATTGTACTTTAAAACTAACACTTTTTATGATTATAGGTTAACCAATAGCTTGGTATTTTAACTCTGTCAAAGAAAAAACACCTATTATTTTAAGAAAGAATTAAGATAAACTGCATTTATATGAAATAGCTAAGCATTTCGTAGGAATGGGTAATTTAGAGGACTACAAAGCAGAAAATCTGATATCATTGAACGAGTATATGCAAAAAACAGATTGTGTAAAGTTAAATGAATATAAATGAAAGCGTTGAAAGCTAATATTAATTACAAAATATAAATAGACATAGCCTGTTTGCATTTTAAAATACATTGATGGTAAATACGATGTAATGACAGCTAAGGATTTAGTTAAAATATTTGCAAATGGAATAAATTTAACTCGTATAGCTTTGATTTAATCGTACATATAAAATCATTCTAAAGCTCGTATTTATTTTATTTATTTATTTAGTTAACTATTAAGCAAAAATCAATTTAATATGAAATTATATTATCAAAAAAAAGATGAAACATATTACGTTGAATTTAGGCAGGAGGATATTACATTGCAAGGAAATTTTAAATTTTTCAAGAAATCTCCTGTAATTGATATACTGAATAATTCAAAGAGGAGTTATTTTAAATACTTAGATGAGTCAATGAATAAAAAGCTTCAAAGTGTATAAAATCAGTTTTCTATTGGTTTGAAAACTATTCTGATTATTTTTTTTGATGTTAAATAAAATTTAGTGCTGCTAAAATATAATGATGTTTATAGAGAAGGCTTACAAAGTGAAAGTGAGGAAAATGGTTGCAAAATTCTTAATTGACATTACTCAGAAAATATACTTTTTGGGTAGTGAAAACTTAATGATAGATATTACAGCTAATTCTCCTTATTAGTAAGAATAGCTTGAACACGAGCTAAGAGAACCACCAAAAGGAAATGGATGTAATTCTTTTAATGAGTTTGTAGGACTGTGCAAATCATACAAGAAGAAAAATTTAGGGAATACAGCCACTTCAACAGCTTCAACATTTAAGTATTAATCTTATTGAAAGATAGATATCAAAAAATAAATAATAAAATATTATTTATCAATAAAGGCTTCCTAAAGTAGTGGTTGATAATGATAAATAATATTCTTAAAAACTATACAAATAATTAAGATTGGAGAAGTGTAAGGGTGATTTTTGTGATTATCAAATAGCAGAACAAAATAAGTAAAAAATGAATTTTATTTGAAACTACAAATTAAAGATTGATTTATTTGATTATTTTAAATAAAGAGGATTTTTAGTATTTAGAAAGCATCTCTTGCAGGAATATTCAAAACACTTTACAGGGAAGAAAAAGAATGAGATGGAATTTGTTTAAATGCAATTGCCACATGAGATTTCAAATCAGCTAATCTTAAAAGCTAGATAAAAGAGTGATTTGGTTGTTGATTTATTTTTTAAGAATAGAATATTTTCTAAAAATAGTGTAAATTATAGCATTTAAACTTTACTTTTTGTGGACTTATTTTTAATTTTAATTAAACAAGATGTATATCGATATGACAGAATTAGAAATTATGAATCATAAGATGGATAAAGAAGTCGAATATCCCTTTATTCTTAAGAATCATTAAGCAGATAACTATGAGAATTTATATAAAAATGTTAAAATTTGCAAAAATTGTTTTACGTTTTATTAGTTTTTGCAAGAACATTTTGATAAAGACTTGCAGAACTAGATGAAGACTACTAGCAAAGTTGAATCATTAAATCAAACAAGTATCGAAGGTACTTAAAATAATAGTTTTAATAATTATGCTCGATCAGAAAAGAGTTTAAACACTAAAATAATTAAAAGAAACTCTTTTTCAAAGACCAATACAACGATTGATTAAAGTCATTTAGATACTTCAACATCTATGAAATAACGAGCTGAATCAAATGGGAGCTTATAAAAAATTAAAAATACTTCATAGTAGAATAAATTTGAAAATACAATAAACAGAATTTAAAATAAATAAACACTTCTCAAATAAAATGAAAACAAAGATGAAAATTCTTCTATTTAACCAAGAGATCTAAGATCAGCTACAGAAATTTTAAATTAACTTGATAATAATTAGTAAAAATCTTTAAATTCTGCTATGAAGCCTCCCTTAATTAGGAAAAGTGCCTCAAGCAATATTAAAGTTAGATTTTAAAGACAAAGCTCGTAAAAGACTTTAGCTGATGAATAAAATAACAATAAGCTGAATAATCAAAATAACTAGAAATCAAGTTCATTTTTTTCAAATACCAGTGAAAGCCAAGACAATAAAAATGATGCATATTTAAAAGTAAATGAATATGTAAAATCTCAAAATTAGCAAAAATAAATATCAAACAGACCTTCTTCCAACGTATCGGATAAGTAGTAAAGATTCTTTGAGAAAGTTTTTGAAGAAATGAACTTGAAGAACTCTAAAGGAAGCGTAAATTCGATGACATAAAAAGAAATGGATTTGAAGAAAAAATATCAAGACCCAAATTAAAAGAGTGCAATTAACTTTAGCAGCCAAAAGAAGTTAAATAAATAAGAAAATAGTCTTGATCCAAAAAAGGATTCTAGATACATGAACTTCTTGAACTATGATAAGTAAAATAGAATATTTAGATAACAAGATAACGAACTCTAGCATCTAGAAAAGGAACTTAAAGCCTTAAATAAAAACATTACGTTAAATCTGATAGATCTTACATAGCAAAAAGAATAAAAATTGAAGTCAATCAACCCAAAAGATGAAGGAGCATTTTTATCTAAATAAAATGAAAAAAGAAAAATTATCATACAAAATGCTAAAAGCGAATCAGAAGCAAGATAATAATTATAAATTTATTATGTAAGTAATTCGCACAATAATTAATCAAATCTCTTTTCTTAGGTTTCAAAGTATTAACCTTCTTAAAATTTGCAGCATCTCAGAAAGCTGCCTGCATTTTAGCTAAGTACACCTCTCAAGCCATTTGGAGAAGAACACAACTTGCAAAAAATATCAGATATAAATTTATATAAGGTGATTGAGCTAATGAACTATCCTTAGACTCTATCAGACACAACCTTTTTAGATTAAATAAAATATTGCATAATAGACAAATATACGGCCATTCCTTATTTACTGCTTTACCCATAATCTCAATAAGTAAAATCAGCCTATTTTAACATAATATGTCTCGATTTCTTCGATTCATTTTTAGAATACAGATAGCTTTTTTATCAAGTTCAACAGAAATTCCCTGATCAATCCTTTTTATTTATGAATTTCCCTGGTAGATATTTTTTTAAATAAAATTTAATCATAACTGACTGTCACAAAATTATCTTCAAAAAATAAAAGCTTTTAACTGATTTCTTTATTTTTTTGAATAGATTAAATTATTATTTAAATTAAAATGCGAAATTAATTTATTTTTTTTTAAATCAGGATAGGCCCATACTGTATTTAAAGAGGAAAATTAATTTTATGATTGTGATTATAATGTAAAAGTTATAGATTAGCTTTTATTTGAGCTGAGTGAGGGTGGTTTCTTTGATGGGAATGTTTAAAAAGTCAGGTGTATTGGATTTGGATACGGAACTTATATTCTTTAATCTTTTAGTAATTTTTATGGATTTTAAAAATATATTTTAATTTTTATAAAGTAATATAAAGCCATAGACACTTGGATATTCCTTCTGCTTGCTTTTACAATTCTATAAGTAAATTTGATAAATAACTTAAGGAAACTTTAAAGCAAAGCTTAGAGGTATTTGAATGCACTCCTAATGATATGCCAGATTTATCTTTTAGCTATTATTCTGGTTTATGCAATTCTAAGCCTCTAAATGAAGGCTAAATAAAAGCAAAAATGAAGAACAACCCCATTTTCAATATAGGAAGATGCTTAATTTTGCAAGGTGCGCTGGAATCTAATGAAGTTTTTGATAAGTTTTAAAAAGTTACAAATCTAAAAGTTTACCTAGTTCACTCTTTGCAAAATTGCCTAGTTAGTATAACTTAAAGCGAAAACCTTTTAAAAATACTGTAAGTTGAACAAGGAGTAGAAAAAGAAGAGACTGAAGGGTAAATCGATAGTAGAAAGCTTTAAATTGTATAAGGAAATCATTGTATTTTAGAGGTAAATTTTATTTTTAATTGGGAAGAAATAAAATTAATTAATTATTGGTTTATATTTTATGGAAAAGGATAATCGTGAATAACTACTTGATACACTTTGTTCTTATTTAATAAGTGAGATTGAAATATGAGTTGCAATAAATTTATAAATTCGACCAATAGAAAATCTATATGAAAATATAATTTGTTTACTAACCAAAATCTTATTTAATAACCTATAAAAAAAACAAACAATCAAGCAAGAAAAAAAAAACAAATAATTTATTCATAAAAAATTAATTAATTAATTGTTTGTAATTCAAACTTACAAAGATCTCTTTATGAATTAAAAAGATCTCTTTATGAATTAATTTATATATTATTATGTATTAATTTATATTATTTTTCATCAATATTTCTTTGTATTTGTATGTAAATAAACCTTTGAAAATATAAATTAGATTTAATCAATTATTGAGAAGCGCTTGTTTTATTAATATTTCAATTGTAAATAAAATAGTCTTAATAAAATATATTACTGATTTAATGATCATATTTTTTCAAAAGTCTTTAAAGATGATACCACTGAGGTTGTTTTTTATGCAAACAATTAAGAAAATTTGTAGTTGTAGATAAAATTTGAATTTTAAGATAATACAAGCTAGATCAAAATAGGTTATTTCATTTAAAAATAACGTATTTTTAAAATATTCATTGATAAATTTCAACTTGATTAAAAAATTAACTCAAATTGTTGATTTCTATTAAAAAATGAATATTTTTATGTAGATATATTTCAAAAGTAAAATAGCTGAGATCTTTGTTTTAGGTGAGAAAGAGATTTATTATATTTATACTTTTATTAAAAAGGAGTAAGACAATTAAATTTTCCATTATGTTTCTATTATTTAAGATTTTTATACTTTACAATAAAATATTTATAAACAAAAATAAAAACAAAAATTCCAAACATTTTAATTTATAAAGTTAAAATGACTGTTAAATTTTAAGAAAAAAATTATGTATCAAACATATTTGATAAGTAAAGTGCCTGTGTGTGCATGCTTAGAAATTAATAATTGAGATTTATGCAAATTAATTATTTAGCTAAACGATGAACATCAAATCTAAATTAAAATTTTACTACATCATTTTTGAATGGAAATTAATTAAAAATAATTAGCTTAGATTTTTGAAAATTAAATATTGTTAGTAAAAATTAATGGATTAGTTTTGATGGGTTGAATTCCATGAAAACTTGTTATATAAAAGTTGCATGCATATTAAGAATGAATAACTAACTAGGAACAACTATCAAGCAAGCAAGCAATCAATCAATCAATAATAATGAAGAAATTAATCAATGAATTAAATGTATAACTTGAATGGAAGAAGAAAATTAAATAAACAAACAAACAAAAACGCGAAAAAAATAATCATTGTTAAGAAATTAAATGTTTTGTTAGTAATTAAAATACGCTAAAGAAATTATATCATAAAAATTATAAACAATCAAAAATAAGAAACATTAATTATCAATCATATTCCTAGCAATTAGTTTAATTAGTAAGGTAAACTAGCAAGCCGAAATAATACTAAAAGAATAACTAACAAAAAGATAAAACAAACAAGTGCAAAAGAAACTAAACTAACTATAGATATATATAAAATGAACCAAAAAGCATACAAACAACCGTTAAGAGAAAGAAACTAGTAAAAAATAATTTTAACAATCACAGATTTTGTCTTTATACTTGATTATTGCAAATCCATTCAAAAAATTCATCCATCAATAAATTAATATTATTATTTTATTATTTTTAGGGTTGAATTGAAGTTCACTACATGGGACAAGGATTCTCATGGCTTATTCGATTATGAAAGTGAGTCAGTTTAAACTGAGAAGCACCGTGTAGACAACCCTTGTCAAATAGTAAGATAAGGTATACACTCTTCACTTTTTTGAATACATTACCTAGCATTGGTTTTATTTTAACAGTTTACTATCTCTATTAAATTGCTTGCTTGAAAACAAAAGTTAATTTTTAGTAAAAGCATTTAAAAAAGAGCAAACTAATAAAGCAAGCTGCTTATATCGATCGACCAAATAGGAAACAACCAAAAACAATTAAATAAATGAATTAAGTTAAATCTCACTTTTTTTATATCGAAATTAGATAATAAATAAATTAAAATTGTTGATTACAACGAGAGAATTGAAGATGAAAATTGCAGAGTCCTAGCTAGCATCACTTAGAAGGATTCTATTCAGCGTAAGTCTATTACATTTTTAAATTATTATTTTCTATTCTCTACTAACAATTTAAATCACTAAATAAGAGTATAAGATTATAAAGTTGGCTAATTAAATACAGTATATTTGCTTGATTGCAAGCTAGCTAGCTAACTAGATATTTTAACTCTCAAAGACTCATTTTCCTAAAATCCAAATTTTATTCATTAAGTTAATGAAATAATTTTTTTATTTTAAAAAGCAAGCTATTATATAAACCCTAGTTCATAATCAAGTAATTCAGATAGCAATACAAGTGGTAGCAGTAGTACGGATGCTCTGGGAAAATAAAATAATTCTAGCAAAGAAAATAACAGCAACAATGATGCTTACTTAATTGTGCGCTTCTTGAGAAATCAAAAGGGAGAATAAAAGGTAAAACTCAAAATAATTATTGAATTTAAAATAGAATTTTTTGTTTAAAGTAATTATTGGAAATAACTAAATGATAAAAAAATATTTAAAAATTTAAAGAAATTAACATGAAAATTATTTCCTGTGATCAATCAAATTCATCATTAAATGACTATATTTTGATTTATTTAAATATGAAAAATTTTGCCATTAACCTATGCTATTTCTTTTTTTGAGTTGATTTAGTTTAAAAATTAAATAAATAAATAGCTTTTTTGTTTGTTAGTTAGTTAGTTAGTATCAAAAATAAATAAGTCATTTGATATTATTTGAATTAATAAAATTACTCTTAAAATTTATTATTAAAGTAATAAAGCAAGTAATCTATTAACATAACATATCAATTAATTTATCTATTTTTAAATTAATTTTGTTTAGAATTAACTTTTGTTTCGTTAAATAATTAGGGATACCCATTACAGGTTGGAGATATGATAAAACTTGGTAGAGTAGAATACTGTGTTATAGAAAAGTACACAGAGGAGTCAGGACTCCAATAAATTAATGATATCTTCTGTGATGTAATAAAGATTATTCATTAGAAAATTTAATTAAAAATAAAAAGATATTTATAAAATTTATTATAATATTATTAATTAATTAACTAATTAGTAAGAACAATACAATTTTAATATTGACTATTCTAAAACTGAGACAAAAACTTGCAGAATTTGCTTGTGTGAAGAAGAATAATGCTCTGAAAATCCTCTCCTAAACCCATGTAATTGTAAAGGTTCTTGTGAATATATGCATTTTGAGTGCTTGAAGCATTGGGTTGAAAGCAAAGTTCATAAGAAGTACTCTCCTCCATTCATTTCAACATTCAAGTGGAAGTAAATAAAATATTATTTGTTTAAATCAATTACTAAAGTAAACTTTTAAAGAAATTTAGAATGCGAAGTTTGTAAGTAACCTCTCCCAAAAATTATAAATATCAATAATAAAAAATTATCTCTTGTTGAAACTGCTAGACCTGAAGGCAACTACATTATATTGGAAAGCATCTCTAGAGAGAAAAAAGTTTCTATGGGTCTTTATATAATAAACAATTTAAAAAATCCTGAAGATCAAGCTAAGCTTGTATTTATTTTACATTTATTTACTTTTTTATATTTATTATTTAATGATTCAAAATATTTTTATAGAGAATCATTAAAATAAATAACTTATCTTAGCTTTAATTTATAAAAATGTTAATAGGGAAGAGGACACACATGCGATATTAGAGTTTAAGACATATCAGTCAGTAGATTCCATAGCTATATTAAATACGAAAATGGACAATTTTTACTATTTGATAATAACTCTAAATTTGGTACATTAGTAAAACTAGATAAGAACTATCCTATACTTTCAGAAAAAGTAGGCATTTAAGTAGGTCGTACTATAATAACTTTTAGCTTAAAACCTTCCAATTCTAGTAATTTAAATTAACTTTAGCAATCCTTACAGTAAAGTGTTGCATAGTTTGATAAAGTCATGATGAATAACAGCTAGAAATAAAAACAAAACTAAGAACAATAATAAGTGATTTAAAAGGTGCAACAATTTAAAAACAATAATGTTATAACAAATATAAATACAATTTCAAATATTAACTCCTAAAACACAAGCAACAACAGCAATAACAATGGAAATATTAGAATTCCCACTAATACCAATATTCCTTAAGCAATTGTAAATAATAATAACACAAACACTAACTTAAATTAATAGTAAAAAAATAATAATAACAACATATAAGCTTAGCTCATTACATCTTCATCAGCTATCCTTGATAAATTATAAAAAGGTAATTCAATTAAATAACCTAATAAAGGTAACACCTTCGTCTCAAACGCAGCTAATAATATTATTGGAGGTAACTCTTCCTAAGTATAAGGTAGTAATGTAAATAGAAATAATATATAAAATGTCGTATTGGCTAATGGTAGCATGGCTAATTTTAACTCTACTTAATATAAAATTGGTGATGTGCCTCTAATGAATAACTATCCTGTCTCAAACAGCAATACTTCTAATTAAAATAGCAATAACAACAACAACAACAACAATAATATGTTTAGTAGTAGCCATGTCATGGGTTAAAATAACCGTAACTCAAGTAATGTTACTCATTATAATGAATTTCCTAATTTCAATTCTATGAATTACAACTAAGCCAATTAGTACAACATTTAGAACAACTTTTAATCCACTTTATATACTAATTTACCAACAATAAGTAACAATAATAATACTCATACTTCAAACAATCATAATAATTATGGACACTACGCCATTTAGCAGAATGGATCTCTCATTTCAAGAAATAATCGTAATCACCATTGAAAATGCTAATGATCAATAGAGATTATTATAGAAGTATTCTAACAACAGCAATTTATTGATAATTTTACTATTTGTAAATGAATTAATCTAATTGTTGAAATTATGAATAAGTAATTATATTATAAACAACTTTCACTAATCTGCATAAAATAAACTTTTAAACTTTATAAACAAACAAGAATTTAAAATCAGTAAAAATATAAAAAATAAAAAAATAAATATATCAACTGCAATTGTCTAAGAAGCAATTCAATTAACAATAAAATACAAAGAGAATTGAGTTGTAATTAGTAAGTAAGTAAATAAATAAATATGAAATAAAACTTAAACTCTTAATAAATTTATTTAGTTGTTATGAACTATGATTATATTAATTTTATCTTAAATATTATATAATTTATATTAATGTTAATATTGATTCTGATAAAAAACAACTAATTTAATTTTTTTTTATATATTTTACTTAGTTCAAATGATAATCCTTCATTTTTATTTAAATTTATTTTTCAACTTTCAAATCTAAAAACAACAAAATAAAATATTTTATTTTTTTAAATGGTATTTACTGAGAATTACAGGTTAATTAATAATCTTTGTTTTTAATATTTAAGGAAACTAAATAAATAAATAATAATATAAAATTTTAGAGTTTTTATTTTTTGAATAGCTATTCTCAAATAACTGGAAACTGATCAACAGCTTAAAAGAATGTTAACTGTATTCTAGAATTTTAATGATACATTAGAAATGCCAAATTATATTCTTTATTTGTATCAAATAATTAAGAGTATTCTTGAGAAGTTTTATTTAAATTTTAATAATTGGAAAAATCTGTGCATGCAAAATATTTATCTTTAACACAAAAGTGTATTTCAAGTTCTTCAATATGGGAGAAAGTATGAAGAGACTTTCCTTTAACTACTTCTTTTACTTTATTGTATGTTTTAGAGTTATATCTGAATGAAATAACGTTTTATTCATAAATTAAAAGTGTATTTCTATCTTGTGCTGGAACTAATCCTACCCAAATATGATCTTACCTTTGACTTTGGCATCTAATTCTAGCAATATATTTGAGATTGTTATCTATTGTGAACGGGATATAGGCTTAGCAGTATGCATTTTAATTTAGCTAAAATACCCAACTCTTAAAGTCATTCTAAATAATATTAGCATGCTATTTGTTTTCTCTCTCTGATAATTCGAATTTAAGAGGGATTACTTACATAGGATCTTCAACTATTTCATCAAATATCGGATATTTGAGAAGAAGATTTTCAAATTATTGTTAATAAACTTAGCTGAAAGATGAATTTTTCTAGATAAATTAAAGTATTTGAAATGAAATAGGTTACATATCTTAGCTCAATTTGTTTAAAGGCAATTAATGACTCTAATATTTTTGTTCACTAGAGCATATTACATCCTTTAATAGTCCCAAATCTTGTATTTATGTGTCTTTTAGTAGGCTAAAATCAATAGGATAGCATCCCTATAAATAGATATTATCAAATGAAAGGTTTTGAAAAATAAACTTATTTTCTTTAAGAGTTTATTCAATTTCACTGATAAATTCATTAGAACAAAAGTTTGATTTATTTGCTATTAGATCGATAATTATTTTTACTTTATCATCAACCGTCCTTTGGAAAAGCTAAATTGATTACTATCTAGAATTAGAATTTGTTAAGTCTAACTGTATTTAAGGATAAGCTTCATAAACTTCAATTAAATCAATCATGTTCAAAACTCGCTATTTAATAGTTTAAGCTGTCTTTAAGCTAAAAACTGGTTTGTTTACTTACAAATCATGTATAGCGTTTATAAATATCTCTGTGTTTACATTTGTTTGCTTTATTTTATTTGTGATTATATTCTACAGTAAATTTATTTTTTCTTGTTTATTTTAAGTAAAAGATGAAATAACATTTTTTAATTCTTCTTTTTATGAAACTTAATTGTAAATATTTAATATTTATGATTCAGATAAGATAACTTCATTCATCTGAGAAGCTAGTTTTTTAAAAGTAGATTAAATTTTTTCAATCACTCTTTCTTGCAAATCTTTGAAATAGCTCTCCAGTTAAGCTTGTAAAATATCTATTCCATTGTTTTTATTTGTTTCTTTGCAAATATCTTCATAGAGTTATTTCTTTTTTGAGCTTTCAAAGGGAGGCCAATTCTTGAAGATGGTATTTTCTTTGCTTTCTAAGATTTTGTAAATTTAGATTAGGTTTTCAGTGCTTAACTACTCCTCAATGATGCAATCCTAGCACTTTAAAACATCTTAAGAATCTTCCTATAAATGAATGTAAATGTAGTTCCATCTTATATGTTTACTACATTTGACTTCGAATGAGTTTTCCACGTATGGCTCTTGCCTATTCACTTAATCAACCATTTTTTATTTTTTTAATGTAATATTTTTTATGTTAAATTTCAATAACGAAAGATTTGGTTATAGATTTAATTTATTCTTCTTAATATCAAAAATTTGTAATTTTTTTATTTATTATTAATTTAAATGAATAAAGTTATTAAATCTGATGATATTTGTAAGTCATTTTTTGGTTTCTAATATCAGATTTATTTACTTTTATTCTAATAAATATTTTCTATAAAAACATATTGAAAAACTTTTCAAAACTATTTTAAATTCTCAATAAATAAACATTTTAATAGAAATGTTATTTTTACAGCGAACCAATACTTTTAAAAATTATATTCATAAATTGTTATTATTATATTCTTATATTATTGTTAAGCAGCAGAAACAAGTCATATATTTTATAATAAATTAAAAACTTCTAATCTCTTCTTTGTAAAGTATTTATGTTACAAAAATTGAATAAATTTATGCACCAATATATAGCAAGGATATACTAATTTATTTACAACTAATACATATAAACAATTTGACATAAATTTTAATTTTTGTTCAATTATTATATTATAATTTTAACAAAAACTAAATATATTTTGTTAATTAAATATTAAATTGAAAAACATAACAATTAAATGCTATATATTAACATTTAAAAAGTTAAAAATTTCTTAAATTATTATTAAAAACTTATAATATTAATTAAAATATAATTTATTTAAAAACTTCTATCAATCACTTTTCAAATATCTATTTGGTATTTTTTTATATAATATTTTATCTTAATTATTATTTTAAGACTGAACTAAGCTATTTAAAATTATTTAAATTTATTTTATTTAATAAAGTTAAGTTTATTAAAAAAAATTAAAAAAATTTTTTACAAATTAAATAGGATTTTCATGGAATTAATGAAAAAGTTTAAGAGTATTTAAATTTTTAAATGAAATAGAATATTTGCAAATATTTATTATTTAATTATTTAAATAAGTAGAATAAAATTTATATTTATAAGTAAAATTAAAAGTAAAATTTTTAATAAAAAATGAATAAAGATTGTTAGTTCCAGGTTGAAAATATAGTATAAATTACCTTTTAGCTTAAGTTTAAAAATGAAGAGCAATTATAATAATTGCTATCTATTATTAATTGATTTAATTAGTAAATAAGTTAATGTACATTAGTTAGTTAATATAAACTAAAGTGTCTTAATAATAAATAAGAACAAAAGCATATCTAAAAAGATATATACATAAATAAATAATTTCATATAGGAATTTATTTAAAGTAAATTAATCAATAAACAAACAAAACAAAGTAGGATTAAGTTGTTATTTAAATAGAAAGTTATAAAGTTATATAAATGATGCAGCCAACATAAATGGATATAGAGAATGATCATTCTGCAAAATAAAATGGAGGAGAAAAGTAAATTGTAGATGAAATAGATTTGATTTATGTACCTTTTAGATCTCCTATCCATGTTTTATAGTTTCCAATATAAGAAAAAGATAATTAAGAATTTGATAAGTATTTGTAAGTGTCTCACTGCGACTATCGCACTTTATAAAAGCGTTTAGATATTCATTATAAACTGCGTGCTCCTATTGAAAATTTTTCTATCGAAGAAGAAATGTCAAGGAGAAATATGGATGGAATGCTATCAGATGAGGAGGATGAAGATCCCAAGAAGAAGTAAGATAAAAATGTTGCAGTTACTTATACTTCTAAACTGGTGTGCAATCAAACAAATTATTTTGCAACTAAATATGATCCTATTACAAAATAGTTAATGTGCTATTCTATTGACTCATTTCTTCAAATGAGACCAAAATTAGTAGATAAAGAAGAAAAAAGAGAAAAAGATAACATTAAAAATATTGCCAAACTCAGCAAAGAAAAAGAAAGAGATGAATAGCTGAGAAAAAAGCATCCTTAAAAGTATACAGAAATGAAGTTAAAAAATTTCAATTCATTTAAAGAAATATATGATTCTGAGGAGCCAATTCGTTTAAATTATCATGAAAAAATAGATCAAATTTCTGATAAGAGGTTTCGTTGTTTTTCTGAACCACCTAAAGAAATAATACCTTTAGTTCCTGTGACAAAAAGTGAATATTAAGAAAATTTAGAAACTGGTGGATTGAATATGAGTTGATAAGCAAAATATTTTAAATTTAAAATCCTTTTGATATTTGTGTAAACAGGCAATATTAATTTATATTATATTTATTTTAAAATACTTCTAAAATATAAAATTAAGCAGTTATAAATAATCTATTATTGAAATTAATTAATAAAGTCATCAAACAATATTTTAATACCTAAAGATTTTCATTATAAAAATCAATAATAGTAAATAGTAAAATATTCAATAAAATATTTTTAAATTAAAAAATATGATTTCATTAATAAAAAAACATATTGAAATTAAATTAAAAATATTATTTTAGCAATCAATAATCTTTGAACTAGTTTTAATATGAAACTTTTAAATTTACATTCAAAAACTAATAAGTTTAAATCAAAATATACTTTACTTTATTTAATTAAGAATTAAAAAAACATATTTATTTGATTGTATGCTTCCTGTAATTTAAAAAATTACTTTTTATCATAAGATGATAGATAATTGATTAAATATTTTAATACCAAAACCTATTATAAAAAAATATTAACTCTTTTGGTTTTTATAAAATTTCTTGAAAAAATATTATTAAGTAGCAAAAAGATAATATTTTAAATATATAATAAAATTAATTTATGCTCAATAATTTAAAAACAATATATAGCTGTTCCTGCATTTGAAAAATCACGGATCATGATATCATGATTTGTAATATTTCAATTATTTAGTTCATCCTTTGATTTTCAAATTTTTTACTTTTATTATTAATTAATTAATCCTATTATTTCATCTTTTTTCTTCATTTTTTCCTTCTAATTAACTATTTTATGATATATTTTTTCTTCAATATTTAAAAAGTTAGAATTATATTGATGACGAAAGTGCATTAGGCTTAGGTTCGGGTTTAGCAAATTGCATTAATCTCTCGAATTTGACACTTTACCTTTAGTAAAAACAGTTTATTTGTTTTGGATTGTGATATTTTGAATTATAAAAACTAATTAAAAACAATAAAGCTCTTTTTTCTTTTTCTTTTTATTGTGCTTGCTTTTTTTTGTTCTTTCTTTGTTAATTTATTTAGTTCATCCTTTGATTTTCAAATTTTTTACTTTTATTATTAATTAATTAATCTTATTATTTCATCTTTTTTCTTCATTTTTTCCTTCTAATTAACTATTTTATGATATATTTTTTCTTCAATATTTAAAAAGTTGGAATTAAATTGGTGACGAAGGTGCATCAGGCTTAGGATTTGGTTTAGCAAATTGCATTAATCTCTCGAATTTGACACTTTACCTTGAGTAAAAACAGTTTATTTGTTTTGGATTGTGATATTTTGAATTATAAAAACTAATTAAAAACAATAAAGCTCTTTTTTCTTTTTCTTTTTATTGTGCTTGCTTTTTTTTTGTTCTTTCTTTGTTAATTTATTTAGCTCATCCTTTGATTTTCAAATTTTTTACTTTTATTATTATTTCATCTTTCTTCATTTTTTCCTTCTAATTAACTATTTTATGATATATTTTTTCTTCAATATTTAAAAAGTCATAATTATATTTGTGACGATGGTGCATCAGGCTTAGGTTCTGGTTTAGCAAATTGCATTAATCTCTCGAATTTGACACTTTAACTTTAGTAAAAACAGTTTATTTGTTTTGGATTGTGATTGTTTGAATTATAAAAACTAATTAAAAACAATAAAGTTCTTTTTTCTTTTTCTTTTTATTGTGCTTGCTTTTTTTTTGTTCTTTCTTTGTTAATTTATTTAGCTCATCCTTTGATTTTCAAATTTTTTACTTTTATTATTAATTAATTAATCTTATTATTTTATTTTTTTTCTTCATTTTTTCCTTCTAATTAACTATTTTATGATATATTTTTTCTTCAATATTTAAAAAGTAATAATTAAATTGGTGACGAAGGTGCATCAAGCTTAGGTTCTGGTTTAGCAAATTGCATTAATCTCTCAAATTTGACACTTAACCTTAGGTAAAAACAGTTTATTTGTTTTGGATTGTGATATTTTGAATTATAAAAACTAATTAAAAACAAAAAAGCTCTTTTTTCTTTTTCTTTTTATTGTGCTTGCTTTTTTTTGTTCTTTCTTTGTTAATTTATTTAGCTCATCCTTTGATTTTCAAATTTTTTACTTTTATTATTAATTAATTAATCTTATTATTTCATCTTTTTTCTTCATTTTTTCCTTCTAATTAACTATTTTATGATATATTTTTTCTTCAATATTTAAAAAGTGGTAATTAAATTGGTGCAATGGGTGCATCACGCTTAGGTTCTGGTTTAGCAAATTGCATTAATCTCTCAAATTTGACACTTGAACTTAGGTAAAAACAGTTTAAAAACAATAAAACTCTTTGAATTTATTTGATGGCTTTTATTTGATTTATTTTTTTATCTTTATTATACCACTAATGCTATTTTATTTATTAATTTAAGAAATATTTTTTAATTTAAAAGTTTATTCTATTTTGATATTTATTTAAAATTTACAAAAATTTATTATAAAATATTAGCCAAATCAATCAATCATAAAAATTCAAAGTTGTTAGCAAGTGTCTTAAATCAAAAAGATTAGTTGTCTTTAAAAAATTATTCTGATTATAAAGAAATCATGAAAAAAGGATGAATAAATATTAAATGTTCGAATAACATTATATAATATTTTAAAAAGTTCTTTTTAATCTAAAATATAAATAAATAGTTAGATTTTATTATTGATTTATATTTATAAATATCATTCATATTTATTTTTATAAGTAAATAAATTATTTATAAAAAATAAAAAAATTTAATTTACTTAAATTAATTAATTCCTCTTAAGGAACCCTCTTGTTTCTCCAAAAATCATCAAATAATTTAAAACTTTGAGTGTTATATTATTTCTTAATAAATTATATAAATGCCAAGCTTTTATATTCCAGTTATATTTTAATCTGTAATATTATCCATCAATCATATTTCTATCTTTTTTTATTTATCATGATTAAATAGATACCATGACTTAAATAAAACCTCTGGGAGAAATCAAATTTTACTTTTTATTTTAACTTTTGTGGTTAATTTATGCTCAATAAATTAAAAACAATATATAGCTGTTCCTGCATTTGAAAAATCACGGATCATGATATCATGATTTGTAATATTTCAAATAAATTAAAAATTTTTGATGCAAAAAAATTATTTATTTTTGAAATTATAATAAATTAAATTATAAAATATAATTCTATTATAAAATATAAAAATCTATTTCATAATAAGTGGCATGCAAACCACGCTATTTTTGTATGGCATCTTGCTATAATTAGGAGATATTATAAATATTCCTCAAATTAAAGAGCTAAAACAGAAAAATCTACTTATAAACATTATTTTTATAATACTTTAAGAACATTAACTACTAGAATTTTTTCAAATATGACTAAATAACAGTCCATCTCTAATTCCTACCATATTTATAAGTATATGTTTTAAATACAAATATTAAGTTTAAATCATGAATGGTAAATAATTTTTTATGTGATATCTGTTCATAAAACAAAATATATAAATTAATACTTGATAATTAATTAATTATTATATTTATTTGTTCTTTTTATCCTTTTATAGTTAATTAATTAATTAATTTTCATAAATTTCAAAACAATATTTTTGAGAAAAAAAATAAATGATATAATAGATTAAAAGATATAACAAATTAGAAGAAGTAATTATTATTTTTTTAATTAATATCCTTTAAATTTATATAAATTAATAAAAAAAGTTTATAAGCTCTTAACTTTTATCTCATTAGGTTCTCGATATTAATCTGAAGTATTATTAATTAAAAAATATTATTTTTATTATTATTAATATTTTTATAAAATTAAATTTCAATTAATTATAAATAATTTTTATTATAGAAATTATAATCAATATTCATAGATATTTATTAAAATAAAAAATTTTTAGCTTTTTTAACCTAATTTTCATTTCAATATTTTGAATTATAAAAACTAATTAAAAACAAAAAAGCTCTTTTTTCTTTTTATTTTTATTGTGCTTGCTTTTTTTTGTTCTTTATTTGTTAATTTATTTAGTTCATCCTTTGATTTTCAAATTTTTTACTTTTATTATTAATCTTATTATTTCAACTTTTTTCTTCATTTTTTCCTTCTAATTAACTATATTATGATATAATTTTTCTTCAATATTTAAAAAGTAATAATTAAGTTGGTGACGAAGGTGCATCAGGCTTAGGTTCTGGTTTAACAAATTGCATTAATCTCTCAAATTTGACACTTAACCTTGAGTAAAAACATTTTATTTGTTTTGGATTGTGATATTTTGAATTATAAAAACTAATTAAAAACAATAAAGCTCTTTTTTTGTTTTTGTTTTTATTGTGCTTGCTTTTTTTTGTTCTTTCTTTGTTAATTTATTTAGCTCATCCTTTGATTTTCAAATTTTTTACTTTTATTATTAATTAATTAATTAATTAATTAATTAATCTTATTATTTCATCTTTTTTCTTCATTTTTTCCTTCTAATTAAGTATTTTATGATATATTTTTTCTTCAATATTTAAAAAGTTACAATTAAATTGGTGACGAAGGTGCATCAGGCTTAGGATCTGGTTTAGCAAATTGCATTAATCTCTCAAATTTGACACTTAACCTTAGGTAAAAACAGTTTATTTGTTTTGGATTGTGATATTTTGAATTATAAAAACTAATTAAAAACAAAAAAGCTCTTTTTTCTTTTTGTTTTTATTGTGCTTGCTTTTTTTTGTTCTTTCTTTGTTAATTTATTTAGCTCATCCTTTGATTTTCAAATTTTTTACTTTTATTATTATTAATCTTATTATTTCATCTTTTTTCTTCATTTTTTCCTTCTAATTAACTATTTTATGATATATTTTTTCTTCAATATTTAAAAAGTTTTAATTAAATTGGTGCAATTGGTGCATAAGGCTTATGTTATGGTTTAGCAAATTGCATTAATCTCTCGAATTTGACACTTGACCTTAGGTAAAAACAGTTTATTTGTTTTGGATTGTGATATTTTGAATTATAAAAACTAATTAAAAACAAAAAAGCTCTTTTTTCTTTTTGTTTTTATTGTGCTTGCTTTTTTTTGTTCTTTATTTGTTAATTTATTTAGTTCATCCTTTGATTTTCAAATTTTTTACATTTATTATTATTTCATCTTTTTTCTTCATTTTTTCCTTCTAATTAAGTATTTTATGATATATTTTTTCTTCAATATTTAAAAAGTCATAATTAAATTGGTGACGAAGGTGCATCAGGCTTAGGTTCTGGTTTAGCAAATTGCATTAATCTCTCAAATTTGACACTTTACCTTTAGTAAAAACAGTTTATTTGTTTTGGATTGTGATATTTTGAATTATAAAAACTAATTAAAAACAATAAAGCTCTTTTTTCTTTTTGTTTTTATTGTGCTTGCTTTTTTTTGTTCTTTCTTTGTTAATTTATTTAGCTCATCCTTTGATTTTCAAATTTTTTACTTTTATTATTATTAATCTTATTATTTCATCTTTTTTCTTCATTTTTTCCTTCTAATTAACTATTTTATGATATATTTTTTCTTCAATATTTAAAAAGTAATAATTAA